GTTGGACCAGCGTAGAAGTTTCGGAATCCACCGGTATCAAAGGGAGCCCGTGGTTCATCCAATGAGCCAGGCTGTCAGATTGAGTGAAGGAAGATCCAGGTGACAAACAGCTCTGTCCTGTTGAGTTATCAGATGAGGTATGAGAGGCAGGCGGAGAAAGGTGCTGCCAGACACCATGGTAGGGAACCATGGTTGACGGGGCCACCAGGGGGTGATCAGAATCCCTGTGGCACCGTCATAGACGATCTTGGCCAGGACCTTTGTTATGAGAGGAATCGGGAAACGCATAAAAGAATGTGTTGTTCCAAGGGATCATGACAGCGTCCCCTGTCGATCCTGGGCTGATCCCGGCACGAGAACAGAACACCTCGCACACCTTGTTCGTGTGAGTGGCAAACAGGTCTATGTCCGGAGAGCCCCAAGTCCGGAAAAGGTGATGACAGGTGTGATGATCCAGTTCCCATTCGTGGGTCATTGACATCTGCCTGCTGAGTGTGTCGGTCTCCTCGTTGTCAGTACCAGCCAAGTGAACAGCGAGGAGGATGATCTCCCTGGAGATGCACCAGTCCCACAGTTGCATCACCAGGTGGGCCATGGGGGTGGACTTTGTCCCACCTTGTTTGTTTATGTAGAATACAGCAACGATGTTGTTGGAGGCTATTTGCACAACATGACGCTGGAGAGTGTCTTCGAACGATCGAAAGGCTTTGAAGACTGCCAGGAGTTCGAGGTAATTGATGTATCTGGTAGTCTCCTGGTGGTCCCAGATGCCCTGTGTATGGCTCCCCATCCAGTAAGGGAGGCATCAGTAAATAGGGTCAGGGTCGGGTGAGGTGGACGAAATGGAACGCCCATGGACAGATTGTGCCACATAGTCCACCATGATAGAGTCCGGAGGACAGAGGTCGGAAGGCGGAGGAGCCGGTGAGGCAAGTCTTGTTGGGGTTGAAACAGTCTGCTGAACCACAACTGGAGTGGCCTCATCCGTAGCCTGGTGTGGGGAACTGTGGAGACTGTAGAGGCCATGTGGCTGAGAAGTTTCTGCACCGAGAGTGCTGGAACAGCTCTGTCCATGTGGATTCGACGAATCGATGAACATAGATTGTCTTGACGACTTTGTGGAAGGAAGGCTCTCGTCAACATGGAGTCGAGATGGGCTCCAATGAAGTCAATGATCTGCCAGGGAGTAAGGCACGATTTCTCATGATTAATACATAGTCCCAAACTGTCCAAGATGGTACAAATAGTCTGAAGTGATGACCAAAGGCCTTCCTTAGACGGGGAGACGATCAGCCAGTCATCCAGGTAGGGGTACACTTGAATGCCATGGAGCCGAAGATGCATACACACCAGGGCCATGCATTTTGTAAAGACCAGGGGGGCAGTAGCCAGTCCAAATGGTAGGATGTTATACTCAAATAGGTCGGAACCGACAGTGAATCGGAGAAGATGCCTATGAGACGGATGGATGGTAATATGAAAGTAGGCATCTTTCATGTCCAGAGAAGCAAACCAATCCTCTCTCCTGAGCAACGGCAGGACATTTTGAAGAGTGGTCATCTGAAATTTCTTGGTTTTGATGAACCTATTGATGCCACATAGGTCCAGAATCGGACGAAGACCACCATCACGCTTAGGAACTGTGAGATATCTTGAGTAGAAGCCGTGGAGCCCCTCGAAGTGTGTGAGTTGTCGAATCGCTCCTTTACGAAGAAGCTGCTGAACTTTGTCAATGAGAACTGATGACTGAGGCATAAATCGGATCAGTCCCGGTGGGGGCATGGTATCAAACTCAGTCCTTATCTGTGCTGTGTGATGGATAAAACCCACTGATCAGATGTGATGGACTCCCAAATGGGGAGTTTACTTTGCAGCCGATCCCCAAAAGGAAGAGGGGGAGGTGGGTTGAGGAGGAGAGGAGAGGTTTGCTCATCCCATCAACACTGGTGTTTGTCAGAGTTGGAGCGACAACGGTTCTGCTGGAAACGTTATTGTTGCTTCCGATGCTGTTGGCGAGGCTGGAACTGCTGACGTCCCGCAAATTGTGAGTAGGGCTGGTATCTATAGGACGGGCGGGACCAAGACCACTTATGGCACGATTGATTAGGGACCTCCATCCGGCGAGCTGTAACCCTGGACTCATGGATCATCTTCATCTTATGGTCAGTGTGAGCATTGAAGAGCCCTGAGCAGTCAAAAGGCATGTCTTCAATCTGGCGTTTTGTCTTGTCCGGAAAGTTGCAATTCGGGAGCCAGGCATGGCGAGGGAGGGCTACAGCACCAATGAGAGCCCTAGAGTCGGAATCGACATGGTATCTCACCGTGGAAAGCTGCTGGACCGCGACCTGCATAGCCGCTTTTATGAAGATTCGGGCCAGGTCTTTCTGCTGACCTAGAAGTGAAGCCATGATATTTTCCAACTTCTGCATTAAAAAATATTGATATCGAGCCAGGGTGGCCTCATAATTAGAGATATGGAGGCTCAGTCCTGCAGCGGCATAGATCTGGCGAGCCAGCATGTTGATCTTACGGCCCTCTTTGGTGCGGGGCATAGTGTGTCCTCTCAACTCATGCCCCTGAGAAGACTCAACAACGATCGAGTTCGTCTCAGGTGACGCAGGAGGAATGGATTATCCTGTTCACGGACTTGATACATGGACTCGTATCGTCAGGAAGTGGGTTGAGGCTGATTGGGGTAGTTCCACGGCTCCATCATTGCCTGGTGAAGAGTGGTAATCAGCAGCAAAATGATGGCGGCCGACTGTTTGCCCTTGACAATATTGTAAAACTTGTCAGTATTGGGATCGAAGCGGTGCTGGGCCTCAATCTCAAGTGACCTCGTAAGCCTTGCCATTAGTTCCCCAAAGGTTACCTAGGGCTCCTCCAGTGAGCTGGGACCCTGTGTGGAGATCACTGCGTCTGGTAAAGTAGAAGCCACTTCGGAATCCTCCGAGTCCGAATCGTAATGAGGCAGAAGGCTAGAGAAAGAGTCAATAGGCGAAGTGGGACGCCTGGGCTGAGCCGCTCTCGAAGTCAAAGGAGCATCTCTTGGTACCGGAGAGAGGGTGCAATCGCACACCGATGGGTAGTAACCATATGGTGGATAATCATCCCATGGCTTGCGATGAGACGGTCTATGGGGCGGTTGCACCCATTCTTCCAAGGGGTGAACGGAGGTGCGCTGTTGATATCGCACCTGCTGAGGAGCAGCCCTCAGGGAAGGCTCGGGTGATGGTTGAGGAGTAGGCGAGCGAGCCATTGGAGGAGAGTCCCGAATCTCTCCATCGGAGATTGATCCCAGCAAGGGAACGTCCTGTTGCTCAGGTGAAGAAGGGATGGAAGGAGCGACCCGTCTTGGAGACCCAGGTGGGGTCACTTACATGGCCAACTGGAGGGCCTGTCCGGTCGGTGTCGGTACCGAAGCAGCCGTTGGAATCAACGGGGCGGATGAACCCGAGTGATGGTGCCGGGAATGGTCGGGTTTCTTAGGCTTGTGAGCTTGTCCATCTTGTCCTTCTTAGGCTTCTTATGGCCTGAGGACTTGTCTGATCCACTGTGCTTCCTCTTCTCCTTTTGCTTATGCAGAGATGCAGAGGAATGTTGACCCTCCAGCAAAGGGGCACCATCAGCCGATGGGCAGGGCGGAGGTGTAGTGGAGGATGAGGACGGAGGAGCAGATTTGCCTGCCAGTTGGTCAGATTGGAGCAAGGCTTGGTCCCACAGGTGCTTGCACAGGCAGTTCTCCCAATTTTTCCTCGCCTGCTTAGTAAAGGCCTGGCAATGACCACATTTATCGGTCCTGTGCCCTTCTCCAAGACAGAGAAGGCACACATCATGTGGGTCAGTAGATGATATTTTAGACTCGCACTGGGAGCACTTGCGGAAAGCCGCACGCTGCGCCATTGAAGAAAAAGGGAAAATAGCAAGGTAGAGAAGAAGAGGAACAATATATTTGGGGCGGTGGGGGGGGGTTGGAAACAGGAAAAAGGGAAATTGAGAAGAAAAACTTCTAACGGAGGGAAAAACTTGGAATCGTAACGTCCAAGAAAGATAATAGCAACTGGATAAACGTGTACAAACTGAGAGACGAAAGGCCCAAGGCACAGCGAATGGCGGTCGCAAGAAAGACTGGGGAAATGGCGGGCACTCCACCCTTTTATACCGTGGGGGGGGAGGGGTGCAGAGTTGCTGCCAAAATCGTTAAGCTTTAAATCTTTCCCGCCATAGGCACTGCGCAGGCACAGCACCCATATGTGTGATGCACAGAGGCCACGACGAACAACCATGGAGCCAACTGGGTGACTTTGGGCCTGTCACAGACTCTCAGCCCAGCCTAAGGACAGTTGCTGTGGGGATAAGATTGGGAGCAGGAGGATGAGAATTGTGTAAGCTGCTTTGAGTTCTGTGAAAAAGTAAAAGGCCAGATAGAAATCTAATAATTTTGTAAAAGGTTGGCTGTGGGTTGTTCACAGGTTGTTCTCTTGTGGCCCAGTGAAATTTGGAATATCCTCAGTAAATGGCTGTATTACTAAATGCTCTATAACTTCAGTTTGAAGTGTAATCATTGAACAAGTATAGTAGATGAGCTTGGAATCTGAATCCTTTGGGCTCTGGGAGACTTCTGTGTTGCAGTAATAATTATGGTGGAAGGCAATTAATTTGTGCTAACAAACCTAACTTTCAGTTTTGACAAACATGACAGAAGTAGGCTGTAATTTTTATTTTTTCAACTATTTTGGTAGTTATATGGAATTCTATCTGTTACTGAAAATAGAAAGAATCTTCAATACATGAGTGGAAAACATTTTTTCTCTGTAGCGATATCTGAGTTTAGATGCGTTTAGTTTTATAGCTTATATTCAGGATGGATAAAATAGAGGCAGACAAATAGAGGATGATTATTATATAGCCTGTCTTACCCAAAATTATAAATTATGCTATATAAATTTACTTGTTACATTGTACTAATATTTGAAGTGTGCCTATTTTTTCTTCTGCAGACAGCAGTTATCAACACCATGTGTGGATATAAAACTATTAACAAAGAGGTAGGAGCATGTGTTGATTGTTTTTTGCATATCTGGGTTAGCTTTAAGGCACTTAAAATACCTATAGTTTTGAGGATTAGTAATTTTACACCCTACAGCCTTGAGTTGTGTCTGCACCCTCATTTCTGCTGATGACAAGGAAGGGTGAACTCTCTCTGTGCCTGCTCCTGTGCTGTTTTTATGCCTTTACAAGCCACCTGTGCAAAGAGCTGCAGCTGAATTATTTGAAAGTCATCTTCAAGGGACGATCCGGACATGAGCACACACCCGTCTGTTGTTGAGAGTGGGTAGGATTTCCTGTAAGCAGATCTGTTTGCGAATATTTATCCAAGCTGCAGATTTATGGGAAGTAGTGACTGGGATTGCTTGATTGTGGAAGGACAAGCAGCCTCGATAACGTCTTTCCCCCATGTGTGTGTGCCGGCTGCCTGCTGCCTCATTTCTGTAATTAGCTGTGCCAGTCATGGATTGCTCTGTCAACTGAACTCAGCAGGGGTGGCTTCCAGACCATCCCAGGGCCCTAGAATAAGCCATAGCTTGCAGGATGTTTTATAGGTCAATCCCACCACTACCTTGCTGGGTTCAGAAGACATGGCTCCCTTTTCATGATGCAGGTAAGTATGGAAATAAGGGAGCGCACGACGCATGCACGATGTGCCTCCTTTCCTCATTCTTCAACTCTTCCTTGGGATTTCTTTGTGTCATGAGTTAAAATGCTTCTGTGTGTAATGACATCACTAGAACACAGTGGATGAGACCACATGAAATGCAAATTGCATCAGCTGTCCCTGAAACCTGGCCATTGAGAAAAAGAAATACCCTTGCGTTCACCAGCTTGTATTACTATTCCTGTAGCATGTTGCAAAGGCAGGATAATATTTCATCTAATTTGGTAATAGAAGCATAAAAATAGAAATGAATTGCATGTGATCTCTCTTATCACTTCTTGATTAAAAATTGGGAAAAGATGTCACTAAACAAAATATACATGCATCTGTAATTAAAAACCTTTTAATGTATTTTTAAATATATGGTCTTTCAAAGAAGGCTCCATGGTCCTTTCAGATTAACTAACATGATATAAACAATTAAAATAACTAAATAATATCTATGATAAGCATCTTATAAAGAGCATTCTGGAGCAAAACAAAACAGATAAATCTGTCTGATAGAGTCAATGAACCAAAAAACCAATATTAGATCATGTAACCAACAAAGGCCCTCTCTTTTTTCATTAAAAGAAATTCTAATGTATGTTTTGTTTTTGTTGTGAGCCTCCCTGAGGCTTTGTTGCGATGGGGGCGGCATAAAAATGTTTTAAATAAATAAAAAAATATATTAGTTTTCTAAGAGAGGAAAGGCTATAATAATGGGGCCATCAAAGAAAAGTTGCTGCTCTTGATAACCTGGATTATGAACAGTATAGAACTTGGAGCAAGGTGATAATCTCTCAGATAATCTTTGTGTATGGGGCAGGCTTATTCAGTAATAGACATTCTATAAGAAATCAGTCTTGCCCATTTTATCTCTGAGTGGGGCTGTTAGTGTTTAAGATATGGCATATGTTTTCTCACTGGTCTAATGAGGCTGCTACTTGAAGTTATGTTTGTTACTTTACAGCGACTGAGTGTTCAAAATATTATATATGTGAGAGGATGCACCAACGCAGTCCTCATTTGGTTTATGGACAACTACACCATAATGGCTGGCATTCTGCTTGGTATATTGTTACCTCAGGTAAGACTAACTAATAATGCTTTGTGAACCACCCAGGGAGCTTTGGCTGTTGGGTGGAATATAAATTCAATAAATAATAGTAAAAACTAATAAATAATATTATTTAGAGCCAGTGTAGCAGAGTAGTTAAAGTGCTGGACTAGGATTCAGGAGATTGAAGTTCTAGTCCCCACTCAGCCACAAAGCTAACTGGGCAACTTTGAGCTGTCCCTACTTCACAGGGCTGTGAGGACAAAATGGAAAGGAGGAAGATGACTATGTAATCCCCCCTTGGGTTCTTTCTAGGAAAAAGTAGGATATAAATAAATAGGTGACCTTTCTTCCTCCCTTTTCCTTCCCCTTCCTCTGTTTCATACTTGGCTTTGAGCCAAATGTCCTTCCACCTCAGAAGGAGCTGACAGAGGGTCCGTGCCTTCCTTTGTGTATATGTTTCTCCTCTCATGAAGGGATTAAGAATGGCCAACTTCGTGGGCTAGAAGTTTATTTTGCAACACTTTATGCACAACCTTGATGCATTGATAATTTTAGTACTGAGAGCTACTGGGCTGCATCCAGGAGCTGCCTTCCATAGATGGAAGGGCTCCCTCTTGGAAGTGGCCTCTCTGATTTCCCTCCCCACTACAGCACACTGTTGCATCCAGCAGGGTCCCCACACCCTCCGAGTAGCATTTCCAGGAAGCTGGATGGGCTGCCATGGGGAAGGGGAGGCCAGGAGAGTTGCTTGCACAGGCCCAATATATGCACTTGGGTTTGTGTGTTTACTTATTTCATTTCTATCCCACCCAATAGCCCAAGCTCTCTGGGTGTTTCACAACAATACATCATGCTTAGTAATCCCTTCCCTCTTCCATTAAATTTGTAAGACTGCCAGTGCTCTTACTGTAGCGTGTGGAATAACTAATACTGGGAGAGTGAGGAACGATAATATTTTTGGTGTCAGGGTGGCTGACTTGGGAGGAAGACTTCCAGAAGTTGGCTTAGTAAAATATTTCCTTTGTTACTCTGCTTGTGGCATGCCTTAAGCTCAAGTAGCATTATTTTGAAGGCTGCTTCTCGAATAAGCACTTGTAGTTGGGCCGATGCCAGAGCATAAAACATGGGCGCTTGTTCTCAAATGTGAGGGATGTGTATACATAAAATTCAGCACATTCAGAAGTGGTTTCCCTTTAAAGCAAAGTAGTTTAATTTTGCTTCCCTTTACTGTGAATTTAATGGAGATGTGCCAAGTGGTACATGCCTGGGCCCTCCATTCTTGCCAAGAGGAGCAGGTATTTTGGACTTGGGTAACCATGCCCAAGTACATAATGTGAACCGCAAATCACCCACTCCCAAATGAGTGGAGCCATAACATGTTTTAATGCACACAGTGTTTGAGAAGAATGATGTATCCTGGTATTTGTTGACACTTTATTTTACAGTTCCTTGGGGTGTTGCTAACTTTGCTTTACATCACCCGAGTAGAGGATATCATTGCTGAGCACAAGTCTGACGAAGCCCTGCTTGCTAGAGGGAGACAGGAAGCTGACATTGAATTTACTGGTGCTGGGTGCTGCATGTGTTACCCAGGGTAATATCCTATGCAAGACAGATGTCGAACCGCCCTTTGCATTGTGCCTTGAATATAATCAAGTGGTTAAACTCATTGTGATTTGCAAATGGTAGTGCTTAGGAGACAAGCCTCAGGCCTGTGGATATGATTAATTGGAAGCACTTCAGTTTTGAGCATTCTTTATCACTGGATCTTGTCTTGAAATGTCTTGTCTTCTGTGGTATCTAAACAGTAAACAGCATAACTAATCCAGTAGAAAAAATGTACAGTACCGTTTGTAGAAAAAATGACTGTACAAGGGATCTGTAAAGATAAAATCTGAACTTTATTTCAAGCTATTTTTTCTAGTCATTTTTAGAAAATGGCAAGTTACCAATGCAGGAAATGAATTCACAGAACACCTTGGCTGCATTAAAATGATCTTGCAGCGACTTTCCTGCCTCAAAGTGATGATTTGACAGAAGTAGATCCATTTCCTAATTTTAATGAAGGATACCTGCTACTGGTTTACATTAGCTTATTGAATTTTTCTTTTCAAAAACTTGAATTTCTTGCAAGCCCTAGTTGTTACATTTTTATTATTTTCAAGCTGTTGCCCCCAGTGTAAGGCACATTTTTTTCACAGCAGTTGTAGGACATTGCAAAAGACATTTGGAAGAATGTTCAAATGTAGATTTTTGTGTGGAAGCCTTAATACTGAACCTTTCAAGGTTTTTTTTTACTCTTCAGATTGTATCTTCATATTGATTCCTAACCAATGAAGTCTTTTAGGGTAGTTCAAGGAAATGATCTCCATTACGTACCTGTTCAGTCATATTTTTATGCTGCTTCAGATGGGCTAATTAACACTGTCTGGAAGTCTTGGGGACTCTTTTGTGCCTTTCTAATAAAAGCCACTGTCTGACTCAAGTCAGGTCATGATTGTTTTGTTGCCAGTTTTAAAAAAAATCAATGTATTACTGTACATATTTTTGTATACTTGTATTTGCTGCCCCTGATTAATTTGAGCCCTGGATGTATTGCACTGTATTTGTCTCCTTTTGTCCACTGATTGGAGTCTTTCTTTGTACAGGTGTGCCTTGAAAAGTGGCATTGTTTATATAGAAAATAAATTCTATGATTTTGTAAAAAAAAAATCTGTACTAGATCATTTTAGTACAAACTTCTAAAAAGTGTTTGGACATGAATTTTAAAAGAGTAGCTAGTTCTGAACATATAATCAGCCTCTTTTCATACCCCATGCTCTCTCCAGATTTTTCATAACCATTGTAGGCAAGAAACTACACACATAGTTATGTTGGTTTTGTGGGGAAGGACCCTTCACTTTGGGAGCCAAAAAAAAACGGGACTAAAATGACTTAGTTCTGCTCAAACTTTGTCTGATTCCAGTTCACATTCCTAGAATAATTCCAAAAACTGGGAACCAAAAAAATCCAAAGTGCTGTTGTTTTACGCATTTATTTAAGATTTATAAGCTATAATTTAGCAGACACCCTTCCAAGATAGTATACAACAAAACTTACAATCACAAATATGGAGCAAGGAGATTAATATTAACAGATATAAGTGGATAGCACCATATAACTATTGACCCTGATAGGCCTAGGTAAACAGGTGAATCTTTAGGGCTCATTTTAAGGCCTCTATTGATGGGGGCAGGTAGACACCAGTTGGAACAGAGTTCCATAGGGTGGGGAGGGGACACTACTGAGAAGGCACTACCCCTTCTACCTGCCAGCCTAATTGGTCTTACTGGTAGGCACTGAGTTAGGGGCTTGGAGGTGATCTCAGGGTGCGGGCAGGTCTAGCAATGTAGGAAGCTGCTTTATATTGAGTCAAACAATTGGTCCATCTAGCCCAGTACTGTTGACACTGACTGGCAGTAGCTCTCCAGGGTTGCAGGCCTATGTTTTTCCAGTCCTACTTGGAAATACTGTGGATTGAACCTGCAAGCACAGCATGTGCTCTGAAGGTCCCTCCTTCAAGTAACCTGAACCCAGACCAATTAGGACTTTAAAGACCAACCAATACCAGCACTTTAAATTGGTCCCAGAAATATGCTGGAAACCAGTGAATATGGAAGAATAAAAGTGTCACATGATCTGACTGCCCAGCCCCTCTCGGTATTTGAGCAGCTGTGTTTTGTATCAGGTAAGGTTTCTGAACTGTCTTTAAAAGCAGCCCTTCATATGATCTGGTGTAGCCTAGATTTCACTACAGCACCAATAACGAGCAAAGTTGGCCCAGTCTAGTTAGGGTAGTCATTGGCATGCCCACCTAAGGTGCCAAAAGGCTCTCCTGGTCACCTGAATGTCCCCAGCTGGGGAGACAGGTCTTGAGTGTCATATGCAGATTGATGATACCTGAACCCAACCACCTGGAGGTTTTTTCCAGTGATTTCCTGCAGATATTATAGAACATGGGTGACAAAATAGAACTCGGTGGCAGTCCTCCAGGAAGGCCTGAAACTAGCATATCCTGGTGCTTGCCAAGCCTTTCCAAAGCATGCATCCAAAAGATCCCGAGCATAAGCTAGTACACAGTAGCACACAATTCAAACTAGGTTTGAATCCAGCTTTAAGCACATGCAGCTGGGCTGATGAACAGTTTGGCCTGTGCAGTCATTCTCCCGGCTGCCCTCCAGCCCCTGAAGAGCCTAAGCAAAGGGACAGCGGAGCCCTGCTGAATGGGGACCCCTCACCAATCGGGCAAAGACGTTTTCCATGACCAGAGTCCATGGAAAGTAAATCCTGGGTCCAATCCAGTGTATGAGAATTTTTTCAGGATGCATTCGTAGCTTGGCCAACTTGTCCCATGCCTACTTAGAAGAACTGCAAAAGCAAATCCATCCAATAGTTAGAGGCTGCATTAGCATCAACACACATCTGATGTCGTTCATGTAGGACACTGATTTTGGAGGTGATAGGAGACAAGAAAATCCTGCCTACAATCTTACACACGTGATGGCCTTTCTGCATATATAAGCACTTGATGGTTCCGTCATCAAGTAAGGCAGGTTTGTGAAAACCAGCCTTGAGCGGCCATAAACACGCTAATGAACAAAAGACAAAGAGCTGGAGGAAGGGACGGCCTCTGCTAGTGAAAAGAGCAGAGGAAAGGTGCACTGGTGCAGCAGGATAGGTCGGTAGAGAGGTACAGCATGTAAGAAACTACATCCCTCCTTGTATTCTAGTTACCATGTATGGATAGAACAGACCAAGGTCAGCCAGCAAAGCACCTATTTAAACCAGCATTCCTTGACTTGATGTGCCTTCAGAATGTGTTGGACTGCAAGTACCAGCATCCCCCACCAGCATGGGTCCTGAGGGATGCTTGGAGACCACATCAGGCTGGGCAAGCTGGCTTAAACATTTTATTTTTAAAGACATTCAAGCCTTGGATGTAAACCTGTTTTTTTTAGATTTCCTACAGTAGTAGGATTGCACCTGTTTTTGGCTTTCCACTTGATTAATGTACAAAACATTAATTTGGCAGACCATCACCATTTGGAGGGGGGAATTCTCAGAGAGCAAACTAATGCACGTTCACTATGAAATAAATCCCACTGTGTCCAATGGAGTATTCTTCCTAGTAATCATATTTAGGACCGCCGCCTCAACTTTCTAAGAAGGTAGAGAGGGCAACTCCAAGAGGAGATGGTCTAGCTGCTGCCTTAACAACTCATTAAGATGGTGGCCTATTTCCAACGGTTTACTCTTAGGAGCTGGATGTATGCAAAAAAAAGAAACACACTCGTCAAGCAGAGAAGGGCCAGATGATTCTCCCAGAAGCCCCAAGTGCTATAGTCAATCTCTTGCTGCTCCATGTACATCTCTCCCAGGATCCTGAAGGGAAGAAAACTGAAAGTAAAGCTCCCATGCTTACCCATAAAATAATTTAAACTCTTATTAGTTTATGATGAATGCAGTGATAACAGTGCACCATTAAAGTAATTTAAGGACACGCCTATGCATGTTTAGACAGAAAAAAGGCCTACAGCTAGTGTGGTGGCTGAGAGTGCAGGACGGATTCAGGCGATCTGGGTTCTAGTCCCCACTCAACCATGGAGCTCACTGGGTGACCTTAGGCCAGACACAGACTCTCAGGCCAACCTACTTTGCAGGGTTGAAGAGAAGAGAAGATTGAGAAAAGAACTATGGATGTCGCCTTGAGTTCCTTGAAAGGAAAAAAGGCAGGATATAAATATGAATGAATAAATAAATGGCAAAAGAAGGGGGACCCATTTTCTTCTCATTGCTGAGTTCTTGCTTACTGGTTTTTTATAGGTGCTTGCTTCCTCACAGCTACCTGAAGAACAGCCCCTATTCAAGGGGAGTTGGCTTCCCCACAGAACAAAGCCTTGGTTAGCAATAAAATCCTGTGCTCTCAGGCCTCCTGAGCACCCTAGGGTGCCTTCACAGCTCCCAAGTAACCAGAGATTCCAAAGAAAAATTGACATTACAAATCTGGCAGTATTCTGGAATATTTCCCTTAGGGACAGATCTTTCAGTGCATTTCATTTTTCAGAGAAAGTCCTTTTAAAAAATAAAGGTAAACTCAAAAACTTTATCACAGACTATTAGTTGCGCTCCCAACAGGCCTAAATCCACCCAGTGAGCTTCATGGCCAAGTGGGGACTAGAACCCAGATCCCCAGGTCTTCAGTTCAACACTTTTAACAACCGGATCACACTGGCTCTCTCTTACTTATGACAGAAGCTCCAAATCTGTGGTCAAGGTAGTTGATTCCAATGCTCTGTGTTTGATGTGCTCTGTAAGCTGAACCATCACCTTAAAGGCAAAACCTCTCGGTAAAAATCACCATGCACAAGTGTTCACTGTTTCTTTGCCTTTAAGGCCACAGAAAGGTGCACTGCGTTTGGCATTGCTGGGAATACACCAGCTCCTGTTCTTGCTGACATTGCTTCATGGTGAAGGAACGGTGAGGGGAGCTTCTTGAGTATTTGGGAAAAAGCCACTCGGGGGGTTAAATTTGATTTCCTACTCAAATACAGGAAGGAGGTTGATTTTTACTTGGGAATGCTTTCTCTTGTTCTCAGCCGTGTGGTGCTTGGGATTTGTTATGAGAGCACATTTATTTACCTGGTAGAATTTAGGTGGAAGGTTAGCCCTGTAAGTTCATTGATGGTTAATGCCTGAAATGGAAAAAAGGGTTTTTACAAACTCAAATGACCGAAAAACCTTTTGGCATGAAGATCGGGGAAACATCTGATTTTTGATTATTAGTTTGTGACACCCTTCACTTCAGCTCCCCCTAAAGGAAACGGTCCCTCCAAGAAGTACAGTGACTCACATTCATGCCGTATCTATAGATACTGATCCACTTGATCCAGGACAGCCAGTTCAACATGGAATTAAGGTTTACAAGGAATCCACCAAAAACCTGGAAAATACAACAGTTGACCAGTAAATGAACGAACAAACAAGCCACAAGTAAGTTCCACAGGATTCCTCAGGCAATGTCAGATTTGTAATGTCAGTTTTTAAAAACTGTTTCTGTATCTGAATGGTTTTTATATTATGTTTTGTTTTGCATTTTTAAGGTTTGAATCTTGCCTGGAGGTTTTGGCTATTGGGTAGTACAGAAATATTAATTACTACTACTACTACTACTACTTCTACTACTACTACTACTACTGGCAATAACAGAAAAACAGTTGCTTTCAAAAGACTGACAATAGTAGCTCCTAAGCCTATGAGCTGAGAATCTCCTAAAAATGCATACTGCAGAGTTGGAACAAAAGAACATATTTAAAGGAAAGCTGGTTATCCATAGCAGTTACTCTAAAATTTCTTCATGGAACATGGGTTCAGTCTGTTGGCCAGCAGCACCTTCAAATATAACCTTCCCTAACTGGTGCCTTCCAGATGTGCTGGACTACCATCATCCCCAGCCAGCATGGGAATTATGGGAGCTGCAGTCCAAATATAAGGAAAGCACCAGGTTGTGACAAGCTGTAAAGAATGTGCACTTTCTTATCAGATAATTCACTTTTCCAGTTCTTTCTCCACGTTCATTAAAATATGGACAAAGCACTATATAAAACATGTTTTTAGGATCAAATGAGGCATTACAATGGGGGGGGGTCTCCAAATTTTTGGGGTCTGTGGGCACATTTGGAATTTTGAGAGGTTATCATGGGCCTGCTCACAAAGTTGCTGCCAAGGAAGGGGCTTGTGCATTCATAAAATAGTTCCCTGGCAGATATGGCCAGTCATGAAAGGCTTTTTTCCCAGAATGCAAATTGGTGAGTGTAGGAAATAAGCAACTCATTTAAGAACCTAAGTACAATGCAGAGCTGAGGACTGACCTTCTAAACACAAAGAACAAATAAAGGTGATGCTAGAGGGCAAACACTTGTTTGCAGCATGGCTGCATCCCGGTTTGTAAAATAAAATAACGTTCAGTAAAAGCTGTTAAACACACATAAACATCAGGAGAGTCTGCCAGGCACCAAAAGAGGTGTGCATGTACCATGGGCACCATGGCTGAGATTACCATGTTACACAAATGCACGTAACTCCCAATGGCCCGTTCTGATGCTCAGAAAAAGGCTGGCTGCTTTGGAAGGGTATATTTGAAATCGAGGAGTAGCAAGGCATTCCTAAGCCCCTCCTGCAAAAGTGGCATAGAAGAACCAAGAACTGGTACTTCCTGGGTTTCAGCTTGTACATAAACTCACATTGTCAACATCTTAGGGTTTGTTTGCTTCTGTCACTCCTTGCTATAGGCTAGAAATGTCATACACAGCGCTCAGCAACTAACGGGTGTGCTTTACAGGTCCTAGTGCATGTCGTTCCAAAAGGTGCCCTGTCCAGGATGGTTTCGAAGCACGATCTTAAAAAAAGACAACAAGAACTTGCCATCATGAAGACGTAGGGAAGGGCAATCAAGAGGTTGGCCACAGCAAAGGAGTTGACACTGGCGCTCACTAAGAAAGCCAGGCTGACGGCTGCAAGGTTGGTGAGGCTCAGAGACAAAACATATAGGAAGAAAGCTATTGCATCTGGTTTGAGACCTGGAGACGGGCAGAAAGAGGAGAAATGGATAGCATGTCAGTGTCTGTAGTGTTTTTTTTATACTGGCATCCATTCAGCTTTGACTTGGTTGGCTTCTCTAGTTGCTTCCCTCTGAGGACCAAGCTAGACACTCTGGCATAATTAGTAAGTTTTTGTACAAGATTCCAAAAGCCAGGCCTGCCCTCAATGAAGAGTGGCATAGGAGGAAGGGGTGCTGTAACCCTTTGGACTGACTTTTCCCCAGATTCCAAGGGCATACTATTTTTAACATAATTCTATGCAAATTTAGTCATATAACCTTTAAAACAAATTAAAAACAAAACACACATTTTCCCTATAACCTAATGCATGAAAATACACATTTTGAGAGGATTTGCACATTTTTGGGAATGCAAATTTACACAACTCTGAATGCGTGAAAATGTGTATGAACACTTTTTCACAAAATCTGATTCTGTCAGTGAGTGGGCGATTCAATGAAAGGCACCTGACAATCTGTGAAACGGAGAAGATATGGATTAAATCCCCTGATGTGGACCAGGTCACATACAGCTACAACTTACTTTTTAAAAGCCATTTGGAGGCCAATTGCTAATTGTGGAAATTACATTGTCTCTAGATCTGCATTGTATCTTGAACAAATATTTGCTTGTGATTGCCAACAAAGATGACATTCCTGGGAAAATAAAAACAAAGCTGGCGTGGGCTGAAGCACTAGGATGATTAATGGTCCTAGCGCGGGGGTCGGCAACCCGTGGCTCTGGAGCCGCACGTGGCTCTTGAACCCCTCTGCTGCGGCTCCGTCGCTCAAAACACGCGCCAGCACAGCTGCTGATCTGCTCGAAGCTCCACTCAGGAAGGCAGCGCTAGCCAGTTAAGTAAATCAGCTAGTTAAGTGAATCGCTACATTCCTCTGCTGAACAAGCTTCCTGCAGGCTCTCATGTTACGCGATTCTCTTTGTCCCAATGTAATCGACTTCATTTGAATGTTAAAAGCTGTGCTTGAGACCTGTCACAATTCACAGCACTTGACTATTTATCTGCTAATCAGTCACTAAACACACCTATATCTGAGACCAGGCCAATTTACTGAGCTTTCCCCCCCTCCAACCATGGATCAATTCGAAGAAAAGAAAAGTTTCTGAAGAAAACCGAACGTTTAATGGTACGTGGGTAGATTCATTTGCTTTTACTGCTGACGAACTTATGGGGTTTGCTGTTTAATGCATGCAGCCCTTTAGCACTGACTTTGACTTCACAGGAAGCTGTTCTCCTATTCAAAATATATGAAAGGAATCCTACTAGTTTATAATGTAAGATTAAAAATAACTGTTTTTAGTGACTGAACAAGAGCTGCAGCTAAATCATAATGAAGATGTAGATCTACTTCTTTGTTTTAAGAAGATTCTTATAAAAATTCCAGCAACATTATTACATTGAGAGAGGGATGTTTATTCAATATTTCACCACATGATAAAAGGATGAGGGCACACAGAAGCAGACTGCATGTTTGGTTTGCTGCAGGTGGCATGTTTGGTTTGCTGCTGGTGGATAATATAAGTTTGGCTTTTTATTTCATAAATATGAGGAGGACTCAAATAGACATTGACTATTTGATTTGAAAGTAATCTTCAACCCAGCATCTTTTTTTTTTTTTGGAGTTCAAAATGTTTTTGTTGCATGCAGAAATAAAAAAAAAATGTTTTCTCTGTAGCAGTTCATTGATTTCATAAATGCAACACACTATAGTTTTTTATACATAGCATAAAGGTAAAAAACGATATATGCAATCTTCATTTTAGATGTCAAAAGGGTTTTGTGGCTCCTGGTGTTTTCTTTTCTGTGGGAAATGGGTCCAAATGGCTCTTTGAGTGTTAAAGGTTGCCGACCCCTGTCCTAGTGGTAGAGAAGGAAGCAGATAAGAAAGATACTGCAAGTGTGAGTACAAAGAACCCCACTGGAAAGAAGTTTGGCTTTTCAAGGCTTCTGCATAGGAAAGACTAAAACGGGTCATGGAGTAAGGTAGAGGTGACAAGAAGCAAAACCGTGGAGCTGTTCCACTCTTCTTCCCAGCAATTTCCCCCTAGGGAATGGGAATGTAACAAGGATGGGCAGGGAACAGACTGTGCGCTGGTGGATGACTGGCTGATTCCTAGCAGTTGTCAGTTGCAGGATTCTTGTGAAGAATGCTGAGCTCAGGTGGATTTTGGTCTGTATCCAGCCAGTCATGTATTTCTAAAGATGAAGTGTAGTTATGAAGAAGACTGGATTTTGCCTCTCCTAGTTTGAAAAACTTGGCATCAATTGAGGTCCTCCTCCTTCTCTTCTTCCTCCTTTTTGCCTTCTTCTTCTCCTTCTCCTTCTCCTTTGTCAATGTGTTTGCCAGCTTCTCTTCATTGGTTTGTTCTTTGTCTTCCTCTCCATGATGGTGAATTTTGGGGGGAAAGTGGCTTGGTGGCAAAGTGTGCTACCTGTGTGCAGTGATCCAGAACAGGCCCCTGCATGCTTACCTTACGGTAAACCCAAGAGAGATCAGCTGCATGTGGTGTATGCCTTTGTAGACATGCAACCTTTGGTGGGAATGCTTGCTCCTCCCTGGCTCCTGCCATCACAAAATAGGGTTGGGTGAACTGAATCAATGGGGCTTACTTTTGCCTGCAAATGCACACACCAGGCTAAGTATCTTCATGCAAAGGCAGAAAACAGGTAGCCCAACAGCCATAGGTAGAGCATAGCTGTCAGGCTCTTGTGAACATGCCTGTACAAGGCTCAAGCATCTTCAAGAACAGGGACAGGATTTCAATTTCATGGTCCACCACTTTGGTTTAGGATCTACAGCACAGTGCAAATTCATCCTATGCATACTTACTTAAGACTGCAGCCATGCACACCGATGGGCTGCCTCTAACTCTCTAAGCTTGGAGGATTACAGGCATTCTATGGAGAGCAGAAGGAAGGCACAGACACAGGCGGCCTCAGCACTTTTGCCTGGCAAAAGACATCGCCTGTTTAGACAGGCAAGGTGCTTTCCCTCCACGTGCAGCACGGCAAGGCTGAGGCACCAGGATGCTACATAGGATGGGGGGGGGGGTCCCATCTTCTTCTCCCCCTGCTCCCTGGAATGCACACAAAGCAGTCTTCCCGTGCTGGCTGCAAGGGTAGAGGGAGGGAACCCCAAGTTCAGAATCCCAGCTCCAACCTCAGAGTGAGCTTTCAGAGCCAGAGCTTGGACTCAGAATTCTTCTATGGCACCTAGACGGCTTCCAGTGGCCACAGAATTGAGCCCTCAGCAATTTACGGGCCTGGATTTTTCAAGAGTCTGAGCAACCAGCACGCATGAAATAGTCCAACAGATATTGTTCTATCAGTAGACTACAGAATCCCCATGCTGTCCTTGACACTTCACATTTTGGTATTATGTACTTCAATATTCTGAATGTTTGGAGTATTTTTGCAAGCCTTGGACCTTTCACATTTCCTGCATCCATCTCAGCTTCACTAGCTGATGGTTCAAGGCCTATTTCATTACAAGCCACTCACCCATCATGAAATAGGAGATGGAAGAGAACAGCAGCACAGGAAAGATACGGTTGGGAAGAAGATCAGCAAACACTTTTGCCAGAAAGTAAGCAGAGGTCCTATAGTAATTCCTGGCGCTCTCGTGGCTAGGAAAATAAGAAAAGACAGTCAAGGAAGTGTTTTGAAAGCCATGTCATCCATGTGCACTTCAAGAGTAAAGAAAGTTTTCTGCAGGGAGGGGTAAATAAGTAACATTCAATATTCCTAGGATTCCCCAAACTTTGTTTTGTGCCCAGTTCCCATTTGCAACTGCTGCTGGCTTTGCTCAAAAAAACAAATGGAGCAGTGATCAAATCTCCCGCAATTTCTGTCACAGAGTAAAGTGGGGCTGTTTTAGTCTGCACGAGCAACTGGGACAAATCAGACTGAGAACTGGGAACAAAAGGAATGTCTTACTGGCAAATGTATGCTCTTATTCAGAGCTTTGAATAGAGTAGGCTTGCATGATTTTGCAAACAAAATGCAAATTCTCTTCCATCTCATTTTTAAACATAACAAAAGCCACAAAGAAGGTAGATTCGAGTATCTTCTTCCATTGTAGAAGAATAGTAGGACAATGAAATCTGAAGTTTCCCCTCACGCTAGCCTGGTGCTTTCCAGAGATGTCAAATTACCATTTCATGACCATGCCACCCTGAATCGCTGGCTGGGGGTGACAGGAGTTGCAGCTCAGCACACCTGGAGGCTGCCAGTTTGGGCATGCCTAGGGCAGTGATGGCAAACCTTTTAGAGACCAAACTGCAACCCAAAAACCACGTATCGCGAAGTGCAATAGAACCTGAAAACTGAGATTTTAGTTTAGAAAAAACAACTCACAGCCAAAGGAAAAAAATATATATATTCTTGGCAGCACACTGACCGGCCATGCAAAAGCTCTGACGGGTCGCAGCTAATGAGTGGCGGCACGTGACGTCATAGCCTGGTGCCGATGCTCCTTTCTGAGCATGCGCATGGCCCCTGTGTGTGCTGTTATCTGATGCTCGGCTGCTGGGGTGATGCTGGGGCAATTTGGCCTGCATACCGACAGGGAGGGCTCTGCGTGCCCACTGTGGCCTGCGTGCCATAGCTTCACCACCACTGGCCTAACCCTACCCTGGTGCAGTCCCCTAACCCTAATATAGGGGTAAAATTCCTTAGAAAATAATGCGATTTTAAAACACCTTCCTTGAGTAGCTTTTTCTAAACAGCTCAACATTACTGCTCATTGAACACACATTGCAACCATCAAAGTAATACCAGGGCACCTCGTTCGTCTAAGCCTAATGCTACCCTGGGGCACACCCCTATCCTTACTATACGGCGAAAGCTCCATTGAAATGAAGGCAATTTTGAAAATGCCTTCCTTAAGTAGCTTTTTCTGCACAGCTCAACATTACTGCCCGTTCTAAACACATTCCAACCATCAAAATCATACCAAGACACCTTGGTTTTCTAACCCTAACCCGGTGCAATCTCCTACCCCTAATATAGGGTAAAAAAGCACTGAAAGGGACGATTTTGAAAAAGCCTTCTTTGAGTAGCTTTTTCTGCACAGCTGAACATTTCTGCCCATTCTAAACAGATTCCAATCATCAAAATAATACCAGGACACCTCCTTTTTGTAACCCTAACCCTACCCTGGTGCACACACTTTAACCTAATTTTAACACCCTTTAAAGCTCCATTGAAAAAAAGTTTTTAAAAAAGCCTTCCTTGAGTACCTTTTTCTGCACTGCTCAACATTTCTGCCCATTCTAAACAGATTCCAATCATCAACATAATACCAGGACACCTCCTTTTTCTAACCCTAACACTACCCTGGTCAACAACCCTAACCGTAACACAGGGTGAACGTTCCATTGAAAAGAGGGTGAATTTGAAAAGGCCTTCCTTGAGTAGCTTTTTCTGCACAGCTCATCATTCCTGCCCATTCTAAATACATTCCAACCATCAAAATCATGCCAGGTCACCCAGTTTTTCTAACCCTAACCCTACCCTGGTGCATACCCCTAACTCTAACATAGGGCTAAAGTTCTATTGAAAAGAGGAAGATTTTGAAAGAGCCTTTCTTGAGTAGTTTTTTCTGCACAGCTCATCATTTCTGCCCATTCTAAACACTTTCCAACCATCAAAATCATACCAGGACACCTCCTTTTTCTAACCCTAGCCGAGTGATGGTGAACGTTTTAGAGACTCAGTGCCCAAACTGCAACCCAAAACCCACTTATTTATTGCAAGGTGCTAACACTGCAAAGCTGAAAAACAACTCATAGCCAGTCCAATCAAATATATATACATATACATATCCTTGGCAGTGCACTGACCTGCCATGCGAAAGCTTGGACGAGTCACGGGTAATGAGTCCTGGGTTGTGACATCATTGCCTGGCACCACTACTCCTTTCTCGAGGATGCACATGGCCCCTCTGTGAGTTGATATCCGACGCTCGGCCCTGGGGCGATGCTGGAGCGACTTGGCTCGTGTACCTACAGAGAGGGCTCCGCGTGCCCGCTGTGGCATGTATGCCACAGGCTCGCCACCACTGCCCTAAGGCATGGGTGTTTTGCATTTCCCCTCCCAGAAGGCTTTGTCAGCATAGCCAACACTGCTGGCAGGTGTGCTTCGAGACCTGGCTGCCCACTTCTGCCCTGGGCTATGGAGCCTAAGTCTCTTCTCTTGGATGGACATACTGGTGGGGGGAAACCTGAGGAATATGGGTGGAAGACGTCACTGTCTGCAAATTGGTGAGGGAGACTGTATAAGTCCCACTTGGGGGCACTGGGGACCTGAGAGCTCTTGATTCTAGTCTCCACTTGGCCATGAAGCTCATGGGCTAACTTTGGGCCAGTCGCTCAATCTCAGCCTGGCCTCTCACATGCAATTGTGCTGCGAGTATAAGATGGAGCTCTGTAAGCCCCCTGGGTCTTCACAAGACAACAAAGGGCGGCATAGAGGGTGGTAATCATCTAGAAACATGTTTACTGTGAAAAAGAGTGATGGAGAGATGCCCTTGAACAAGAGCAGCAAATCTCTGAGCCAAATTCGATTCCAGAGAAGCTCTCAGCATCTATATTTAAGCAGTAGGCATGGTGAAAGTATGAAAAGAAAAAGAAAATAAATATCCTGGCATGTTTCAACTGCGATGTTTCCTGTGAGTAACCAATGTTTAGGAGGAACATGTGAACCTTTTGGAAAGGAGGGAAAACCGTGCAACCATCAGAAAACTGCCAAGCAAGTAGTCGTCAGGAAAAAGGGGCAGAGTATTGGGACTCCGGGCCCAAGGTTCCCTACCCCCGCTTTAGAAAACAACATCCAAGCACATCTGTGCTGGTGTTATAGGAGACGCTTCTATGCTGCGCAGACACTGCACGTCTGCCAAGCTGAGCAGGAGATGGATTCTGTATCTTGTTGGTATTCTAAAATTAGTATAAGGTGGCTGTGCCAGCGCAGGTTGGGGTGGAGAACGTGCACCAGCTGGGTCAGGCTGTTTGATGCTACTGCACAGCCCAAAGCCTGTTTACTTTGGCTTTGTCCGAAGGCTTAGGTGTCTGTGCCAGTGGGCAGCCCAGTCTGATGGCATTTCTGCAAGCACAGTGCTGGAATGGCCACTCTCCATCCATATCTCATCATACACATATGCATGTGATTGGACTTTCCCTGCAAGAGGACAATTGCTCACATGAAGAGTTTTCGGTCATAGATGAAGAGCTCCACGGCAGACAGATTCCCAAAGATCTGAGTAAGGACTGTGAAAAAGAAAGCTCCTAACCTGCAGTGAAATGAACAGATGCATTAGAGAAAAATTCTGCATCTTTATGAAGGTGTAGCAAATGTGTAGGAGGACAGGCTGGGGGATTGGGCACTTCCCAAAAATGTTCAGTTTTCATTGGGGGTGGGGGGCGAGACTGTTCCCACCCAGTCTTTGCAATCACAAACGAAAGCTTGAACATGAATGGGAAATGGCTGCTTGAATCTAACATTTCCCAGGATTTCCATTTGGGAGGCGGCATCAGTTTCCTGCACAGCATCCTGCCCCTATCCATGGCAAGAAAAAAGCAGAATGATGCAAAGCCAAAATAAGGCAAAGCAAGACATGCAGCTTTTACAGTACAGAGCACACTTCACCCTGAATATCATGCCTCCACCTGAGTTTCCCTCCCTCCTGCCCCCAACTGTCACTAGTGAGGACTTCGAAGGAAGAGGAAACTGCACCTCTTCCACTAGGTTTAGACACAATTCCATGATGGAACATGCAACTAAGAATCTACTGCTCAACTCCTGAATTTGCCTTTTTCTTCTCCTTCCCAAACCGTTCCTTCTATGCTGTGTCTTTTAGACTGTAAGTCTAAGTGCTGCGACTGCCTTATTTCTTTGCAAGCTGCCTTGGGAAGCTTTCTGTCTAAGGGGAGGGATAAAAATGCTATAAGCAAGCAAGCAAGTAATAAATAATATACAAGTTAGAATTATTTCACATTTTCTCTCCTGTCTGTTGTGCTTGCAATTTTTGTATGGATCAGGACTAGATGGTATACTTCTCATCCAAGATGCATCCACATGACTCGCTCTGGGAATAATTGTGAAGCTATAGTAAAATTGGTTCATAATTTGATTCACGAACAAGACTGCCAAGACGCTGACCAGCATGCTACTCAAGAATGTATTGTGTGGATAGTGCCATTATATGCTTTAGGAACTAGGTGGCACTGGACTTAGTTGTATCTGGACGGAGGCAGCGGATTCCTAGAATCATAGAACAGCAATGTTGAAAGGGGTCAGAACCATTGGGTCCAACCTTGTGTCTCTTCTGTTCTTACAGGAGACAGACAATGAAATTCTTGTCTAACTTCCCGATTGGCATTGTCCTCTAATCTGTCTGGAACGTGTGTTAAATTTGGCCCAGGGACAGGGTATTTCCAAAAGAAGATGCTGGGATAGGGCAGAGAAGATGGTGAAAAGTGATTTGGGCCCCACCCTCTGATGCAGGATCCCTAAAACCTAACCTTACCTGTTCTGTAAGGCTTCAGGCATTGTGTCAGGTATTTGGTAGTAAATGAGCCCAACCAACACAGAAAAGATGGCGCCCAAAAGAATCTGACCGAAGGAGGTCTGGGGATTCCTCAGGAGTTGCTTCACATTACGGCAGCTCACAACATAGAGCTAGAGAACATCAACAATTAAGTAGTGTGCCATTAAACATACTTTTCCAAACTGTCTGATTTTTTCCCTCTTAGAAACTTGAGATATTAGGACATGAAGGGTTCCTTCACCATTACTTTTATAAGTGTTTTTCCATGGGGATGTCTGCTGAAAGCAGAGCCCCCAACAGTGCTTTTAAGATTGCCCCCTGGCAACCAAGGACCCTCCAACATGGCCAGAGCTGGAGGTGGTGGGATTTGCGGGCAACATACCTAGAGGGAACCAGGCTAGGGAAGGCTGATGGAAATTCATGGGCCGCTTGATTTATTCAACTGGAATCATAAAAGCCTTAACTTAGCTAGGGTCCTTTCACTGCATCACACAACAATGTGCATTTGGGTTTCTTCTGTGGAGTCCACTAACCTGGGTGAAAATTCAGACTTATAATGTAGCTTGTACAGATGTCTGTCTTCGGTAGAAACAGATTTAAAACAAAGTCAATCAAACCTCATGTGTCAAGATACCCACAGGAAGGGATGGAGGAACCAGCAATGTTCAAGTTTGCCTAACTTTTCCAAAATAGAACCTTTGGAGAGCTTGTTTCAGCTCTCACCTATTTGAGTTTCTGACCTGTTTTTAACCCATTTGGAGTTATACATTCCAGATGGAAAAAGTGTGTATTTCTGTGTGTTCTTTTCAAAAGTGTGCACTTTCCCTCCATGGACTAAAGTGTGCAAATGCATATTTTTAAAATGTGCATTTTAAGTGCATTTTGAAATACCCATTTTTTGAATGTGATCAAAAATGTGCAAATTTGTCTCATGAAAAAGCACTCCTGCTCATGGTCAGGATTTTAGATGGGACATATTCACATGATCTAGAAAAAAAAAACTTCTAAGGTGTACTAAGGTGTTCAACATGCCGCACAACATATATCGAACAGGGAGTTGCAGCTAATCGTGGCTCCTTGACAAATGCACCTGGATGATCTTTGTTGCATGGATTGGACACTTTGTGGCATTGTTCAGACACACACCTGAGACCTATAGGAGTAAAAATGCAATGTGGGGAGTGGCCCCTTTCAAAGAGCGAGATGAGCTGGTTATTAGAACCTGGAACAAAATGTTGCCATACAGAGAACTCCTGGTGAAGGATTCTGGCCATTCTACACACGCCCTCCCCTTTTCTGTCCCCCATGTAATCGCCAATCCACATTCTATGGCCACTGAGTGTACTCAGTCCTGACTAATCCCTTCCCCCTACTTAGACGGCTTTTTCCTTCTAAAATTTTCTGTTCCAAGCCTGGAAGACCCTCCCTTTTATGCCTGGGTGGTACTATTTCGTCTGTGCAAGCAATGGTACTCACGGCCCAAATACTTCAAACAGAGGGAATGATTGTGTGCTTATGTGTGGATCCGTCTGTTTCTCCATCTGTTCCCCTATTCCCATTCCTACTGCTTTCCTCTTCACCTGGTGGATGAATGAGGTAACGTAAGTGGCTTTGGACAAGGTGACTTCATAGGGATGGTTCTCAGATGACCGCAGGCTTTTCAGCTCCTCTTGCAGCTCTTGATAGAAGGAGGACTGGAGATAATATCTGGACAGGGGGCTCTTGTCAAGAGAAGAGCTGCTGGAGAAACTGCTTTTGCTGCCTGTTGCAAACAAGGGAGGACTGAAAAACACACATGCATACTTTCCTCATCTAATACAAGAGGAATGGACCAACGCCAGGGCTGCCCCATATCACTCTGCTGCCTGAAGCAAAGGGCAAAATAGCAGCCCTTGCTGGCCAGCTGATACAGATCAAACATAGCTGAACAGAGGTCAGAAAGACAGGCAGACAGAATAGCAGTCAGGACTTCAGCCCTGGCGTCCTCTGCCCAACTGTAGGCAGAAGGCTCGGTTAGGGGGAGATGGACAAGCCACACAGCTCTGTCCCACAAGACCTTGACGCCACCTGCTCAGCAGCCCGCCTTGTGGCACCAGCAGCAGCACCACCCGTGTGCATCCGGTGAGCAGCGCCAAGCAGGCAGAGAGGCAGCCAGCCCAGACCACGTGCTCCAGAAGGCCCTGCACAGGCACCCCCATGCAAGGCACCTGCAGGTGCCTCTGCTGCTGCTGAGTGTGTGCGAGGGCAGCAACCAGGGGCCAAGTGGACTGCCGACCGAGCGATGACACAGGCTTGAGGGATGCAGCCAAGTGTGCTGTAGAACTGAATGTATAAATTGTCCTATTTCTACCATACATCTGATCTTTACATCTCATTGCAATGTGTCCTAAATCTCTAAAGAAAGGGAAACAATATATGCATATATTCATGCTACCCAAACATTCAAATATAACCTCAAGGAGAATCCTCTTTTGTCATCTTGTGTTACTTATGTCTTTCCCTTTTTTCCCAGGGTCCTTTTCCAACAGCAATGCTTTGGTAGGAGATGACAAAGGAAACCACCAGCAAGCAAGCACACCTGCTGCTGGAGTGACAGGTCTTGAAGATTGGGAATGCCAAGGCAGTGGCTGTCCTGAATAAACTGAAACTCAGTCCAGACAAGACGGAGGTCCTGTTGGTGGGTGGTTCGAGTTCCTGGGTAGGTGACTGGGACCTTGCCCTGAATGGGGTTGCACTCCCTCTAAAGGACAGAGTCTGCAGCTTGGGAGTGCTCCTCGACCCAGAGCTGTCCCTGGAAGCTCAGGTGACTGCGGTGGTGAGGAGAGCTTTCCTTTAGCTTCGGTTAAACCATCAGCTGTGTCCCTACCTGGAAAACGATTGCCTAGCGACAGTGACACATGCATTGGTTACTTCCCGGTTGGATTTCTGTAACACGCTCTGCATGGGGCTGCCCTTGAAGACAGTCCAGATACTTCAGATGGTGCAAAATAGAGCAGCCAGGTTGCTGACGGGGACTTGTCGTTACTCTCATATAACCGCAGTCCTCTACCAGCTTCACTGGCTTCCCATCGAAGTCCGGGCTCAATTCAAGGTGCTGGTTATTACCTATAAAGTCCTTAACGGCTTGGAACCTGGATACCTAAAGGAACGCCTTTTTCCGTATTTGCCCTCCCGCCCCTTGAGATCGGCAGCAGAGGCCCTCCTCTGGGAACCCTCCGTGAGAGACATTAGGAGGCTAAGTACCCAGCAAAGGGCTTTCTCTGTGGTGGCGCCCCGCCTATGGAATGCGCTCCCCAGAAAGGTCCGCCTGGCGCTGTCGTTATTTGTTTTTCGGCACAAGGCTAAGACCTTTTTATTTCAACAATATTTTAATAACTTTTAACATCAGCTTATAGGTTTTAATCTACAGCCAGGGTGGATCGGGATTTTATTTGTATTATGTTTTATTTTATTTTATGTAAGCCGTCCCAAGGCTATGCGATGGGATGGCATACAAATACTCTAAACAAACAAATAAATAAATAAATCATAACTAATAGCAAAGAGAGCTTCCAATTGCTAGCTTGTCCTTGAGTTTGCAATTTGCAAATAGTTTCTGGAGGAACAGATCCATCTGATCTCACCCTTTTTGAATTGTTCTGTGTTTAAGGGTCAGAAAGGCAATTAAGATTTTTGTAAATTTGCAATGAATTAGAGGACTGTAAGATGTAAAGATTGGAGGTATGGTAAAAATAAGACAATTGATAAATGCAGCTCTATGGTATACTTTGATATGGTGAGGCGCTAGTCATTTTACTATTTGTATATACCAGAGTTGCCTGTATTAGAGTATTTACCAACTTTGTAAAATGTTTATTGGATTCCATCATTTGCCAAGATGCACCTGTCATTTATAATATGAAAAAAGAAACAATGGATTACAGATATATGTAGACCTGGCAAGGACAGGCAATGCTCATGCTGGATGGAGATGCTTGGAGTTGAAGTACATCTGGACAGGACCAAGCTGAAGAGCAGGCTTTCTAGCTCTACAAATTTCTCCTTTTTTACTAGAACCCTGAGGTCCACCCAGTGCAAAATCATGGGATACACATTTAGAATTAAGAAATATGATGCTTCTGAACACATGCTGAGCCCAGAAATTTGTTTCATTACTAAAACAGAGCTTACGATCCTTTCACAGATGGATTCATTTCTGGTCTGCTCACAAAGCTATCTCTGTTTCAGCACCCTTATTTAAGGGTGACTGGAAACACTTTTCTTTGTAGTTGTTGTAAGACAATTAGGAATCATGCCATCTACTGGAATATTCCAGTCTGTCTTCTGCCCACTCCTACATAGGCTAACCCAGCCTTCCCCAGCCCAGTTTCCTGCAGATGTTTCAGACTACAACTCGCAGTGTTCCATGCTGGCTGGGACTGATGGGAGTTGAAGTCCAAAATATTTGGAAAGCACCAGGCTGGGGAAGCCTGGGTTAGAGTGTTAACAGATGTGAGCTGAGTAACTTTCTTTTTCCATCCAAGTCAATTTCAGTGAACAACTCACCAAAGTCTTCCTTAGTTTGGGACTGGATAACTTCTCCACTGATAACATCCAGAAAGAAGTCCAAGGGATTGTTAAATTGCTCGCATTGATATCCTGAATTGAAATGCAGAAAATGAGACTCTTGCGGTAGTAAGCCTGATAGCAAATTCATTTCTTCATATCTCCTGCCCTAGCTTGTGATGTACTGGACATCTACTGGACATTTACAAAAACACAAAAAACAGAAAGCACACCCCAAGTAAGGTAGCTTACTATTAGAATCTCACCCAAAACTAATACCCATAAAACCCACTCTGCAAATCAGTAAATCAGCATTTGTAAAGGTGAAAGGCAGAAAATATACATGTTCCTGTAATTCGAAGCAAAAATATTTGGTTACCTAAAGAGAACATTCAAGTTTATCCCAAGTTTTTTGGATTATAACTAGTGACCAGTGGCTAGTAGGCTTGTAATCACATGGAATTTTTATGTTCAAAGGCAGTATTCCTCTTTGAAGAGCAGATGTCAAGGGGAAAATTGTGGTGTGGTGTTCTCGCCACTATGCCCTGCTTGTGGACTTCCTAGAAACATCTGGCAGGCCAGTGCCCAAAACAGGATGTTAGATCGAGTCTACCTGCAAGACATCTTTGCCAAAGTAGCAAAGAACCACCCCAAAGTAGCAACCTCTGGAAGGTGGAGGAGACAAGCAGGAGCCATTGCCATCATATGAGTCAATGCTGAAATTAACAGAACTCTCCTAAAGATAAGAAGCCAGCACTATGCACTCCTGTGCATACGCATGTGTGTGGTGCATTTGCAGCTCGCTGGACTTTGGCTAGATACAAAATCTCTACTCTGTGAGTGCTCCATGTCAGGCCCACAGGACCTCTTTGAGTTCCTCCAGAGGGTGGAGTTTGGCCTCCAGACTTTGGAAGAACCCAAAATGATGTGGGTTGGATACAGAACTTCTATGGGCCAGAGATTCTGAACCCCTATGACCCAGGCTCATCGAATTGTACCAAGAGGACTCTTCCATGGAGGAATCACTGCAGTTGTCTCAGACTGGAGATAACCGTGGATACATGGGTGAGAGTGGTGGGAGGCCACTCCACTTTGCTACTGCAATTCTTGAGGGAAACCCCTTCAGTGGCTTGCAGAAACTGCCATACATTTTGGGCAAGTGATGATGGGCTCTATGTTGTGCACACCGCCATGACTCTTACTTGCAGTTCAATCTTTGGCCTTTGCTTCTACAAAGCAATCATTTCTTCCCTGCTCTTGCTGTTCTGTTCCATTAGTGTGCAAATTTCTGCCAGCTCCTTCCCATTTTAATAAACCATGCAAAACCAGGAAGAGACATTTAACTTGCACAATCCAGTCCAGCCACATAGCTTTGCCTGGGCTTGGCTGTTTTCCACTGCTCTTGCAGTGTTTTATGAACACAGTCTGGCCACACCAGAACTTTAGCGACCATAAATGCTATTCTGGTTCTGAGAGGGAGACTTTTCTTACCAATGCTGTTGAAATAGGCTGTAGCTTCTCTTGCTGGTCCAGCGAAGATGATTTCCCCCTTGTTCATCAAGGTTAGATGGTCAAGCAACCTGAAGATGGAGTAGCGTGGCTGATGAATTGAGAAGATCACAGTTCTTCCCTTCCTGGAGAGTCTGCCAAGCAAGGACAATACTTAGTAGCAGTTGCATGAGAGCACAGCTAAGTGAAGTTCTCAGCACATGGCTGATATATGAAAAATGCTCTGAATTCCAGCCCTGGCAGCGCAGTCCAAGGACGTGGAGTAGTGAGTACTCTCAGAACTTGTACTACTCTTGACTCAGAACTTGACTACTCTCAGTACTAGTATGTGACTACTCTCAGAACTTGTCACACTCTGCCCAGATGAACATATTTCGTGGCATGTTAAAAGTCAGTAAAATGGGTACAGTATATGCTAGGGTTTTTCTTGCTGATCCTCCTGCAGTAGGAGAAACAAGTTGCTTCTTAACTTGTTTCTTCAGCAGCACAAATTCTGCGGGTGGAGCATGCTAAGGTCTGGCTATAGGCACAATACCCGCTCGTACATGTATATCACTCCTAGTCTTAACTTCATGATCTTGGGATGAGGAGCAGTGGGGACATGACCACACTCTCTGAAGATATTTGTCAGAGGTTAGTCTTCTGCTGAGACGGCGTGAAAAATGTCCAACACAGAAACTCACTGGTGCAGCAGCTGCATGATGGCATTAGCGGTGTTAGCATCCAATCCTGTGGTTGGCTCATCCAGAAAGATCAGGGAAGGCGAAGTGATCAGTTCCATGCCGATGCTGCACCGTTTCTTCTCGCCCCCTGAAACACCACGCAGGAATTCAGTCCCAATCTGATGTCATGGAGGGATGCAGTGGGAGGGAAGAAAGAGAAGCATACAGAGGCTGAAGAACCCATTGAGTTTTCCAAGCCATCAATGATAATCTGTAACAGAGCAATTCTACTCCCCCGCCCCCGCAGTCTTTTCCTACATCTACCTGTTTCATTAATGTTCAGTTTTCTAAAGCATCTGTATGCCCAATGAAAAGGCTGGTACTCTATGAAAACCAAGGGGTGGGTGATCTGATTGGTCAATATCTTACCTTGTTATAGAAGGTAGGCCTAGTGTAGTTGTAGGCCTCACGTAGGCCTAGTTCTTGCAAACAGCAAAGGGTCTGGATTGCACATCTTCAGATTGCAAGTTTGTGTGTGTGCGTGTGTGTGTGGGGGGTCATTTGGGTAACTTCCCAACATGCTAGTTTTCTATATGCAGGGTTTCATGCTTATAGGATGGAGCCTTTTATCGTGCAAGCCTTTCAGAATGAAATAGTCCTGTAGAGACACAGGACTACTTCCTCATTGGCTGTTTGTGAGAACTAGGCTATGGGTCTGTGGTGAGGTGTGGCAATTTCCCCTGATCCAAAAGCTTGAAATAGCTTAATTTCTGGCATTTAAAGCTAAAGTGTGCTGGCATGCTTGGCTCCACTCCTTTGATATCTGGAACACTCTCCTGGGAGATTCATTGAACTGGAGCTGCCCCATATGTTCAGTTCACCTGTCCTGTTTCTGCACTGTCAGTCACAGAGAATGAAATCCTCAAGCATTCTGATCCTCCAGTAAATCTGCAGTCTTGGATATGGAGAAGCCAGAAAGCAAATAAAAGGTTTTATAACAGTGGATCTTTCAAAAACTATCTAGCAGGACAAACCTGTCCAGTTTCAACTGCTGAACATATGAGAGGTTATTTGAGAAACACTCAAAAAGTCAACTATGTGACAAAAGTACTATTCCAAACAGAGGTAACTCTTTCCACCCATATGGAATGCAGGCATGGCAAAAAACCAGTCAGGGCCTGTGACAGGCACTGTTTTAGCCCTATGGTTGCCGTTGGCCCCTGTGCCAGGGCTTACCTTGGTGTCTGCACAGTCCTGCAGGCCCAGCTCCTGTATCACAGCATCAACCTTGGCTGCCTTCTCTGCACTGCTGTGTTTACTCTGTGGTAGACGCAGGTTGGCAGAGAACTGAAGGTTCTCACGGACACTGAGTGTTCCTGTCAGAATGTCCTCCTGCAGGCCAAGAGAATGTATTTGTGGATTTAGAATACTATTATACTGCCTTGCAGGCAAAGCCTCTTAAATACAGTTTACAAGGTAAAATTGCAACACAATAAAATATAAAACACAATTAGCTACCACAGAAGGAAAAAAAAATAAGAAAGAGCAATAGTATACTCCAGTTTCTAAAATAAGAATGGCTATCCATTTATTTAAAAGCAGACAGGAACATCCATATCTTTATGGCCACTTAAAAACATAAGAATGGGAACTGTGCATCCTTCCTGTGGCACGGTGTTTCGCTAGGAGGGGGTCATCACAGAAAAGTCCCTATTTATGTGCCTGCCAATCCAACACAACTTACCAGGCAGAGGATGCATGAATACAGCCTCCGTTGCTGATCTTGGGTTCCAGAGTAGGTTCAATACAGGTATAGGCATCCCTTAAAATAAACTGATTCCAAACTGTATAATGGATTTCTTAAACAGTGGATTTCTTAAGCTTAACGGAATTCAAGGCAATCCAGTCCTACAGTTCTTTAGCCTTCCCCCACATACCTACAGCCAATGGCACTGAACCAAGAACTGATTCATAGTGTCTTCTTTTAAGATACTTGACTTGAGGGAGTAAAGATAGGGGGACCATACTATACAGTGGTTCATTTTGGATTATCATATCTATGATGACTGAACCTTTTGCCCATCTTCATTGCTTCTAGCAAACAAACCAGGGAAGGCTCTAATTAACTATACTTTCCCATTTTATCTGAACATCTGGAAATTATGGTTACCAGCATCAAAACAGGCCAAGATACTAGGCCAGGATACTAAACCAACTTCAGACTATGGTTTAACATCCTGGCTTGTTCTGAAACTGTTAACCATAGTTTCTCATTTAATTCAAACCAGGACTAACATAAATTATAGGCTTCCTGATTTCTTTGCTTGTACTAAAAAGGAAGGAATAAAGGGGTAACAGGTGTGGCAAAAATCTAGTTTATATTTTTATGCCAAGATAGAATAATCTGAACACAGACAACAAGTGCTTGCATTGCCAAACACTGAAATGCTTATCACATGAAGGTGAATATTGGTTGATTAATTACAATAATGTAATGTAGACAAAGTTGATGAATACACAGTTTACGCCTGATATGGCATTGACTGGGTTCACACAACATGTTAAGTCATGATGGTTTATAAGCCTTGGTGGTTTAGTGTGTGGTCTGAGCCCAGCATTCTTTCCACAGGATAGTTTATAAGCCACCCTGGGGTAACATATCAACCATTCCAACTAGCCACAGCTTGTAGTAGGGTTGAATAAACCCAATGTGGCTTATTGTGTTGTTTGAACCCAGACCTGTGATTTTTCTGGGCACGTCCCCATCCAGAGTGCATTGCTGAGGTTCTTGAGAATTGCAGGCTTAGTGATGGTCTGAATTATCAAAGGGAAAAAAACAACCTAAAGGCAGCATGAAGAAAGATTCACCTGGACTACATAGGCTGAACACCGGTGAATATTAGAGTCAACCAATTTCCCATCCATAAAGATTTGTCCACTTTTAAGCCCTTTGGGATCCTTCCATCCTGCTAAGACATCAAGGAGTCTAAAGAGAAAAAATAAAAAACAGAACACAGGTAATGATCCATTCATAGTCCAGCTCCAGGCAGGGGCACAAACCTTTGCAGAGCGTGAGATCCAGCTTCTGTGACTTGCACATAGTAGCAAGAGCAGGCATCTTGCTCCCCTTGGTGCATTGTGCTCTCTTCCACTGTGTCTTAGAGGCAGTGCTTAAATGAGAGTGGAAGCACACTTCCAAGAAAAGTAAGAGAGTGGAAGCACACCTTTGCCACCAACAAGCAGCTACAAGTTGAAATTCCTCCCTAGGGAGGTCCAAAGCAACTCTTCGTGGCTATTCCCTCCATTTCTGATGTTCAGGCAATAATTGTCCTTGCTTTTGTATCCAATATAGCACCACTGATATATAAGAGAGATCCTAGCCATTTGGGGAGAACTCCCATGCTGTGGGGCAAAGCCCCAAAGAGGGTCCCACAACCTGCCCAACAAGGACTGTCTGCTCATTTGCCACTGAATGTGGACAAAGTATTGGCAGGGGTGAGATGGAAGGACGTGGCTGGAATCATAGACAGAAGCACTTGATTGTGGTCCATACTTGTTCCTAGGACACAAGTCTTCTGTAAATGTGCCCTTACTCACATGAAGCCCTGTTTCCAAGGGCTCCTGGAGTAAAAAAAGGAAAGGAATGAATAAAAAGAGAATAGAAGAAATGGGAAAGGATTAAAAATGAGTGGGAGGAAGAAGAAACGGGAAAGAAAATGTTGAGTTTGGAAAGGAGAAAGAGGAGAAGGTGTTTGGGTCTAAGAAGGATGTACAAAGCCCCCCCCCCCAAAAAAAAAACAAAGTTGCGGGGAAATGGAAGAATAGGGGAGAAGATGATGTCAAGAAGGAGAATCACGTAGAAAAGGGAAGCCAATAAACACTGAAAGGAGAATTGAGTGATATAAAAATTGTGATGATGACAGAGCAGAGAAAGTAAAAGAAAAAGACTAAAGAAGGGTGAATTTTGGGAACTATGGAAAAGCCTTATATAACTGGGTATTTTCTTTATGAACCACTTCACCAAAATTACTATCCTAACTCCCACTGTCCTTGTCATTTTTTTAAGATAATGGGATTAGAGAGTTACAGCACAACCTATGCATGTTTACTCAGACATACAGGTACTGTATATCTCATTGAGTTCAATGGAGCCTATGCCTAGGAAGCTGTATAAATGATTGCATCCCATAGCTACTTCCCTATGGAAGCCCTGTTGAACGTAATGAGATGCACCTAACGCTAAGGTGTTAACATAATTGAATTCAGTGGGACTCACTGCTGCTGTCTACACAAGCCTAGGACTACACTGTAAATGTATGAGAAGGAAATCATGGGAAGTAATTCCTCAGATTAATTTCAATGGGTCTACCTTAAGTAGGACAAATATTGGATATCGCTCATTCTATCTTTCCTCTTTAATGCTTGGCTCTTTAATTGCCAAACTGAAGATGGCAATGTCTGTCTGTGTGTCAGTGCAATAAATACCGTGTCTGGAAGTTTGTTTAGATATCTGATTTATGGCCAGAAAAGATTAAAAATGTTTGTGATAAAATGAAATTGTTGCACCAATGACCAGCCTGGAGTTGCAGAAAGCTGCTAAAGCTTGCATTTAAATCAAATACTACTTCTTTACAAGTTCAGCTAGTCTGATTGTTTTCTCTTGATCCTGGCTGGAGGATTACTGATTTATAATCCCCTGCCATGAAAAGCCCAGGTATGAGCAGGAGGAAGGGAATTACCTATTTCCTCTTATGTTTTCTTCCACATAAATTGTGCTATCAAATGGGCTGAACCTGCGCCCTGGAAACTTTCACTAAGTATCAGAAAGGACATGTGCACAGTGAAATTTACCTCCAATTAACAATTACAAATAGGACTCAGCCAAGGGAAGGCCATTGACCTTCATATGCTGCTCGGTTATCCAGCAGCGTGGAACCTTAATTTTGATGTGGCTTCCAGCTAATTGCAGAAAAGGCCCAGGATGGCATGAAAGGACTATAGCGCAGAGGAACCCAGGTCTGGTCTTCATAATCTGCATATGGCCTGATGCAATGCTGAGCCTGAAGAGTGTGACTGCAGAAGTGGACAATCCAGGCTCTCCATCTCTGGTAGAAGTGCAACTCTGAGAGGGAAGGAAGCTGACTGGGACTAGGGGCAGAACACTCCGGTGCCCAGCTGTGTGCAGCTGGGGACCGGATCATCCTATGGACAGGTAAGTGCAGGCACTGTTGTGCAGTCAAGAACAGTACTTACGAGGTCTTCCCACTTCCAGTTGGCCCCAAGATGGCATTCATTCCAGGTTTCATAATGCCACTGCGGAAAGGAAAGTACGTGCATCAAGCAGTTACTAAATCACCCATTTCTAAACTACATGCAGTTTTTCTGCAGTTATTTTTTAAAAAATCTCATGCCAAAGAAGGATAAATATTCAGCTTTCAGAGAAACTTCTTGGTTCACCACTTCATCTTTTTAGCTGAGCAGCCCAAGGGCCAAACTCAATTTTGGAGAAGCTCAGGAGGGTGTTTTCCACTGGTGGGTGAAGCAGAAGGTAAAAGGGGTAAAAACTAACAGCACAATGTAGCTTAAAGTTCTTACTGACAGCAACTAAGCCTAGGATGGGGAGAGAAATGCACAAAACCACCAATCAGTGCTCAAGGGAAAGGAAGGGGGGCCAGGGGAAGTAGGCATGGCTATACGGGGAACACTAGTGGGATGGACTGAGTCCCCAGTTGGCAGGATTTGGCCCATGGTGCTGAGATGTGACACTGTGCAACACTAGCTCTGTTGAAGGGATTGGAGTCAAACTCAGTCCCACTGATTTCGGCAGAAACTTAAAACCCACCCAACACTTCCTGGATACAACCCCATATCTTTGTGTACATGTAGTTTTGCAGTTTTGAAATGCTAATTGCTTTACCTGACATCTCTGAGAACTTCCTTTTCTTTTCCTCCTTTGAAAGGAACCATCGGGGGTACACTGACTGAGTAATGAACGTTGTGGAACGCAAGCGTCGGGCCGCGAATGTTCAGCTGGGTGACAGCATCTTGGATATTGGCAAGTTCCATGTTAAGAAGCTGTGCTGCTTCAGCTCTCTGGGAGGACATGGATAGGCTTCTCTCTTAATTTGCCACCTGAGAGATAACAAAAAGAAGAAGGGGAAAGGAGCCCCAAAGACTCGACTTGATCTTTTGGTCACCAACTCTGTCTTGCTCTGCTCCAGATCACTCTTTTGCTATCTGAGAGCAGTCTTGCCTTTATTTATTGCAAAGGCTGGAGTGTCATGATACAGGCAAAGTCCAGCTTGTTCCACCTATCTGTGCAAGCAGAGTTTTATGGACGTTGATAAAAGACCTCAGTTGCCCTTGGCAAAACTATGGGTCAAGAAGTTCTTTTGCAGATGAACAACACAAGACCATGCAGCATCTGACTGTTTGCTGTGCGATCCAGCATTTCATATCCAGTTCTAATCAGGGCATGAGGGAAATGCCCATTTCCTGTTATAAATCCCCCACAACACCCTATTAACGCCCCATCCCCCACACGTAATCCCTAGAATTACTCTTTCTGAACACTTGTGGCTTTCTTCTGAAGGGCAGCTAGGACTAAATGTATGGCAGAAAAACAGCAAGAAATCAGCCAAGTGCAAAACATTGTTCTTCTACAGGATGCATGGATTTTCCGGGGTGGGGGCAGATAATCAAATAACACAGACTCTGCTCCATGATAGGAGACAACAGCTTTTTCCTGCTCAGATTAAAGCGCAAGGGCTGAGGAAGATGCTGCTGAGCCATTCAGTCCAGCTTGCTTCTGAGGTTTGCTCTGCTTTCACGTGACATCCTGCTCCTGCATGCCTCTGATGAGGCCCAGTTGGGCCTTGGGGTGCCGTTTCAAAGAGCTCCTGAGTGAATCAGTCCCGCTTACTTTTAACTAAATGTGTCCATTATGTGAAGGTAGTTAACAAGCGCTTTTCTGTGGCACGCAGAGTCTCTGTGGGGTTGGGTGGGGAGTTTAACGTTCTTTCTTTTTCTCATGGTCCTGACAAAAATCTTCTCTCAGATGTTGTAGCTATTTGCATTTCATGAGAAGCCTTCATGGGAATCTGTTGAAGTATAAATGGGAGCTTCAGGAAAGGTTTTGTACACAACCTTTGGGAAGAAGGGAAGCAATTAACCCCTTCCTCCCTTTTGTGGATGCTATGAACGTGGCATATAGTCTGGCCCTCAGAAAAACAGAGACATACAATCTCTGTAAAACCAGTGCTTTGATGAGACCCTTTAGAGCCAGTAGGAAGAAAACCTCCCCATGGTGTTAGATACACCAAAGGTTAACCATGTCACCTGCCATGGTGGTGCTCCCTCATCATCATCTGTTGGCTGGTAACAAAATATTTCTTCTACAGTTTTCAGTTGGGACAAGCCAGGCCTTTAATGACATTAATTTAATTGATGAAACTTGAACTGTACTGAGATGAGTTTACTCATGGCACTTCTATTACACATTCTCAAAATTCCAGATGTGCCCATCACTCCTCATAGGTTGGGAATTATGCCTTAACCAATCGATTATAACTGGACAAAAACTAGGGGGCCAAAAAAAGTTGTTGCATTTATATGCCACTTTTTCTCCCAGGAGTCCATGGTTCTCCTCCCCTCCATTTTATCCTTATGACTTCCCTGTGAGGTCTGTTAGGCTGTGAGCGAGTGACTGGCCCAAAATCACTTAGTGAGCGTTGTGGCTGAACGGGGACTAGAAGCTGAATCCCAGTCTAAGCGCTGCGCCACACTGACTCTCTCAGTGCTAACATTCAGAGTTGAAGGACAGAATTTTTAATTATTTCTCTGTATTTACATTCTGCTCTTCTATTTAAAAGAAATCCCCAAAGCAGGTAACAATAAAAAGACAATTTTTTTCATTGGTTTGAATTGTTCTTATTGTTCACATTGAAGGTAGGCTTGTTTTAATGAGAAGTCAGTTAGCAATATAAGGAAGTATCTTTAAAAAGTCACTGCATTTTCATGATAGAGGAAGTAGCTAAAGCTTTGGGTGTTAGCCCAGGGAATCCAAATATAAGAGAAACTCTCAATTTCTTGAGTCTGAAGCCCCTTATAATGCAATCCTTTCTGATATGCTCAGTGGTACTACTCTTGAAGGGCGCAATTCTGTGAACGTTTAGATAGAAAAAAGGCTTACAGCCCCTTAGATTTCCCAACCAGCCATGTTGTAGAACCCTTCTTCTGGTCTAAACTCGCAAAGGTTCATGCCCTAAGTTAGTTTGTTTAGGATTGTTGCCAGCAGACAGAAAGCAAATCTGGATCTAGTAGATCTGAGTGATTTACAGTAGCTCAACAAGGATTTCTTACCCTCTGTTGTTTAAAACTCCCACTTAATACTGCTCAAATGAAGAAGGCTTGGCCGCCCACAGAGCATAACGCTAACAGGGAGCTTTTATACAAATTTCATAAATAATAATAACCAGGAGTTGTTTTGTGTGTGTGGAAGGACTGTGAACTCTGATCACTTTTGGTACCTAGAAGAGGGCTTAGAATTGTTCAGTGCTAAACATTTTTGTGTTAGGCTCTGGTTGGTGATATTTAGGGTTTCAGTAACACAGAAACTAGACTTCACAAGGCTGAAATCTGCCCATTTGTATCTTAAAGTAGTGGAAGAATGTAAAGAAATGTCATGATCATATTTGGACAGGAGGTGGCACTGCTTGTTCATATTTAACAAGCTTACAGGGCACCTCTCTTCCTTCAGGTATTCACTGAATCAAGAGGCAAGTTAACTGCACTCTAGATTAGTTGCATTGCCTTGACTTTTGATAACTTAAAGGAGGCCTAGTGAAATGAAAGTGATTTGGAGAACATCAGCAGAAACTTGTAGTCCTCTAAACCAGTGGTTCCCAAACTTTTTCAGTCACGGAACCTTTCTGAAGACATTTTTTTCCTGAGGAAGCCTTAACCCTATCCTTGATTTTAACTAAGCATTGTGAACCCACAATGTACTTCCTTCTTTCATCTGCTCCTATTGCCTGAGTGCTTTGCATAACATAGTAGGTTTGGAAATAAAGAGAAAACATTTTAAATATAACAAATGAATAAAGCGATTATACGGTAATATCCCAAGTTAATTCTTTTGATTATTCGCAACACTACACAATAGGGTCCTAGGAACCAAATGACACAATGCATTTCCTTGTTTGCTGCTTGGATGCCCATTGACAATCGAACAGTTGGCTTGTGTTTTCAATTTCATTGTTGAGATTTTTTGCGGAACCCCTACAAGGCATTTGTGGAACCCTAGGATTCCATAGAACACAGTTTGGGAACTACTGCTGTAGACACTGTTCAACTGCAACTCCCATGCTCCCTAACCTCTGCTCATTCTGGGTGCCGCTGATAGAACCTGGAGTCCAACAACATCCAGAGGGCCTTGGGTTTCCCATTGGTCCAGAGAAATAATTCAAAATAATTTTCTGAATTTCTAACATGCTGGCAAAGTGAGTGTTTTATAGTCTGAATAAGTAAATTAAATAAGGCAGAGTTAGCAAAGATGTGGTATTAGGATGTTGTAGCAGAAAAACAGGTAGGTTGAGAGATTATGCAAGAAAGCCCTCCAGCTTTCCCTTAACACCTCCCTTTTCTGCTTAACCCTGTCCTCTTTATTCCTAAGTGTAATCCATCTTAACCAGGGCCGACCTGACCATTAAGGCAGAGAGAGGTGGCGGCTTCAGGCAGCTAAGTCAGGATAAGTTAGGACCCCGAGGGTGTGGAATGGGCTTCCACGAGAGGTCGTTGAGGCCCCATCGGTGAGGGTGTTCAAAGATAGGCTGGACGTGCACATGGTGGGCATGTCATAAGCAGAGCTGGCTGGAGCCGGGGGTCAGACTAGATGGCCCGGGAGACCCCTTCTGACTCGCTCTGTTTCTATGTTTCCATGATATCAAAAAAGGACAATAATTGGTTCAAACTTCCAGGGAGAAGCACTTCCAGGATTTCTGCCTCAGCTGCTAAATTAACTTGGCCAGCCTTGGGTGTTACACTCTTCGGGGAGTGTGGGAGAAGAGGGCACCATTCTCCCAGGTGGAAAAAAAAACATACTGGGCAGGTCCTGAACTCAAATACATGCCACTGTATTAAGTCATTTTCATCCTTGGCTACAGGATTCCTTAACCTGGTGCCTTCCTGAATGGCCAGCCTCTTCCATGTCAGCCTTTCATGCTCTACATGCAGGGCTGTGAAGCAGAACATTTTCCAAAATGGAAACCCTTCCAATGCTACATTTTTGCCATAGAAATATTTTTGCACCATGGATGTTCCAGAGACTTTTAGTAATGGGATGGCATAGAAAAATTTTGAATGAATGAATGTCAGCATTAATCCAAACGTGTTGGGCTGTTGTACTGCAGTCAGTCATGTTAGAGGAGCTAAATACGGGACATGAATTTCTACGAGTTATACTCCTAAGGCATGCTTTCTCAAACCCTAGTGCTCAGTTGCCTATGGGGGAACTGCAAAAAAGGCTGGGGGATGGACCTTCCTGTATCCAGTGCAGCTGACTCCAGGCTGAGTCTGGACCAAACTTACACCTGTTGTATTTGCCCTCTGTGGCCAACATTCTTCAACATAAACTGAAGGAAAACTGTGATTGTTCTACTTTCCTTAGAGTGTGAACTCAGGCAATTCAAAGCTGTTTGCATTAGATTAGCTATCTAGTACTTGTAGTTTCACTGAGCTAAGGCATAATGTCAAAAGAGAAGACTAGCTGTAGCATCACTACTGTGAACCCACTGAAGGAAGAAAGGCACTTGGTAGACATGCAGACAACAATATGTTGAACAGTGCAACAAAAGTGAATTTGTTACAGCTACACTTGCCGAGATCTTGCCTGCTAAGCAACTACAGCAGACAACACATGTTTCCAGTGTTTCTGGTCATCTTAATACTGGGTGTTCTCTTCTAAATATTCCCTACTGTAGTTTATATTAATAGTAAATTAATTGTCACCTGTCACATACATTCCCCTCTCCAAGTGAGGAGAGGGAATCTATAACAACGCAATGAGGTCTGGGCATGCCCAGTGGTGGCAAAATGCTGTTGTTGCAGAAAAAGAAAATGTGGGGGCGGGGGGGAGAGCTGGAATGGTGAGTCTTGGAAGTGAGTGAAAAAGCAGACGATCTCAGAAGGGACACAAACTTACTTTGTAAGAAAAGAGCCATAGATTTTTAAGCAGCACTGCCATCTTTGTTTCTCTTTGCCTTCCCTTTTATATCAGCTGCAGATACTACACTTGATCTTAGCCAAAAGGCCGAGAAGCAATTGAATGGAGCTGGTCTTTGACCGTAATAAAGTGTTTATCCATCTATCTATCTATATCAGCTGCATGACAGAAAGTCAATTATGGTGGCTTCTCTAGGGAGGAGAGGCAATATACTTCACCAGTTGAATTTAAACCCTTAGTTTGACACACCCATGAGACTTACCACAGTTGATGCTTCCTGGGCTTATATCACAGGCAGAGACTTCCAAAGTACACAGTCATGCTTTTGAACTCAGAAGGTGGTCCTCCCACACCTATTTTGGGGAAGGTGCATGGGGCTGACTACTTACAAAATTTATTTTCTAAGAATGCCACCAGGGGCCTTATTCTTGGAAATAAAGATGAAGCAGTTCTGGAGACCAGTATTTCATGTGTGTGAGTGTGTGTATGAGAACATTTTAAACATCTGAAAAGATCAACAGGGGCATGTGCCAAGGGAGGTGCTCACAGGTGCATTGGTGCCCACGGGTAACATGCTGGAGATCCCAGCATTAGAATGATCTTTCTCTAACAAGCAGGTTGCCCACTTTTAGAAGGTGGTGTACTTTTCACAGCCCTTGAATGTGCAGATAGTGGCAGGTGAGATTCCTCACCTGCATGCTGAGGAAGGTCTCACCTGCTGATACCTGTAGGGGAAGATGCTTTTAGCAGGAGCAAGGCAGGTCAGTTTTCTCCCAGTCAGTGAGCAGCCTTACTTGGTGATCAAAGGCCTGAAAAAAGAAAGGAAAAGAGAAAGTGTACCAGCCACCACAAGAAGTGTCAGATCCAGGAAAACAAAACCATTGAAAACTTTTTTACCTTTTCTTCCAAGCCATTTATGGGAGAGATTACAGAGGGCAGGCTTCACCAAAGGCCTTCTCTGTCTGCATCTCCATGAAAAGAATTCAGGGAGAAGAAAGGTAAGGGATGGATTTGAGACTTGCAATCAAGGCATGGTCTTGCTCACTGACCAGCCTGGCCCTGCACTGACCTGTGTTCCCCACATCTCTTTCAAATAAGTATTCTGTGGGCACCAGTAGCTGCCAAGGTGCCTTCCAAGGCAAGAGTAGCAGCACCAGTAACAGCCTTCATTTTTAACTTGTCGTAGTTGATGAGAACTGACTTGTTCAAGAGTTTGAACGTGCTGAAGTTGGCAGCACAGGACAATCTAAGGTGGGGCAATTTGCTGCTGTCCTAGGCATTGTCTGCCCCTCTTCCACGCCTGCTGGATGAGAGATCAGGTGAGCAGCCTCCCTGAAGAGGTGTGCAGCCCAAATGCCATGCTCTGAGGGGTCCTCCTTCCTCAAAGCATGGCATTGTGAGGTGGCCCTGGAGACTGCCTTCAGGAAAAGGTTGCCGACTTGATCTAAGTTCAGGGGACTCTTCCAGAGTGAGCGATCAGGCAGGTTGGCTGACAGGTGGATGGGTTGATGGTCTCCCCCAAGGACCCACTAGATTCTCTCTGAAAGAGAAAGAATCTGGGCGGGCATCTTCTCCAGGGGCTTCCCTTCATGGTCCCTTATATTGCAAGAGAGCTCAGAGTGAGAGATGAAGGTTGGGGGGGGGGGGGAGGCAGATGGTCCAAGGAGTCCAGAGTGCCACTCTCCTGCCCTGGGATTTGCCATGGTGTGTGGGTGATTGAGGCATGTCAGTGGCAGCAGCGCTGACAGAGGCCCTCCAAAAGCTAAGTGTGTGATTTCCTGCTCCTTCCCCTTGGCTGGCTGAGCAAGGGATTCACTCTGTCTCAACTGCATGGCCAGCCCTGCCTGAACTGTTTTGTTCAACACTTGCAAATGCTGAGCATGTCCTGAAGCTGTCTTGAAGATGAGAGAACAGCCATAGCTAAGTGTACCAAGGAGAGAACATGGTTTGCCTCTGGAAGGTTCCAGATTCAGTCCTGAGCATCTTCACTGGAAAAAAATAGGTATTAAATGGCCTCTCTCTGCTTGGTATATTAGAGAAGTGTTCCCAAACAGCCTAGGCTAGCTTAGCAAGTTCAACTTGGCACCTTCCGGACATGATGGACTTCATTGCACATCACACCCAGTGGACTGACTGGAGGTGATATTTATTTTTATTTATTTATTTTTCGATTTATATCCTGCCTTTTTCCTACAAAGGGCTCAAGGCAGCTTACATCATTCTCCTCCTCCATCTTATCCCCACAACAACAACCCTGTGAGGTAGGTTGGGCTGAGAGTCTGTGACTAGCCCAAAGTCACCCAGTTGGCTCCATGGCTGTATGGGGACTAGAACCCAGATTGCCTGAGTCCCAGTCCCATGCTCTTAACCACTACACCACACTGGCTCTCAATTAGATATGAATTAGAGACCAAGGCATGTGGAAGATGCCAAGTTGGGGAAGGCTAGGTTAGATGGGCAAACATTCTGACCTGGTATAAGGCTTCCTACACTCAGCCATCTGTTAGGGTTTAATAGCAATGATCCATCTTTTAGGGTTCTATCCCCTGTGCTACATCACATCACAGTTCAATTTCCCTTGCAAGCAGCCAAATCAATTTGCAGCCTTTAGACTTGCATCTAATCCTTCTCTCTAAATCCACAGGCATTGTGGCTCAGTGAATACAGCCACAATATGGCCAGAGTAATTCAGTGTAATATAGGCACGTAAAAGGAACGGTTGAGCTACAGAAGGCAAGCTCTCAGTGTTTAGGAACCACTGAGAACAGTAGGTCTTCCAGTGTCTTCTCAAGTATTGTGAATGTGCCCGTGAAATTAATAAAACTCCCCAAGAGAAGATTACAGGCTCTCGGCTTGCACTTCAGCTAGAATATCTCTGGCACGCCATTCGGCCCATCTCATTATGGCCGTTCTACACATTACACAACAGCAAATACAGGTTTGCCACCATGTTCAGACCAAACCGAGTCCTGTGGTCTATCCTGGCTGCCTGGCCATTGTACTTGCATAATATTATGTTTGCAAACATAATTTTGTCACATGACACATTGCCATTTTAGGTGTTAATATATAAAAGCCTCTTAGGTCGCACCCCCCAAAATGCAACTAATTATCTGTGGAGCCCTTATTTCCCCCTTCTGTCTGCAGCAACAGAGGAGAACAGCAGGTCAGCCGCAATTATGGTTGGGTGTTGATGAGAATCAATGAAAAGAACGAGGGAGAGTTGTCAAGAGCTCACTTTAGTGGCTCTTTCATTTTTTTTCCCCGGAGAAGGAAGTTAGAAAAGCAGAGCCCTCAAAGCGGTATTGAAAGAAGGGCAAGAACAGGATAATGTGCCCGGCCAAGGCAAGGAACGCCTGAGTGCGAACTGCAGCGTCTTTAATTATCTGTCAACAATTACTCCTTTCAAAGTGGAACATATGGTAGATGGTTTGCTTAAAAAAAGAAAACAAAAATACTTTAGAAACTTAAATGATGTTGGAAAAATAGTAGCAATGGCTTTAAAGGGATGGAAGGGGGGCAGGGGGATGGCATGCTCAGGATATACTCCCCCAGAGGAGTCAGTGGAGTTTGGCTTTCTTTGTTGGTGTTGCTCCCATCATGCAAAGCTGGAAGTCCTCCCCCATCTTTCTCTCTGTGCAGGCCACTTTGGGGGAAAGGCTCCACGCTCACAGACAGAATCTTAGAAGGGATCAGGAGTGGGTCTCCTCAGGGAAATGATTACTTCATGGATCTGCAGACAGGATCCAAGATTTCTGCAGGTTTAGTTCATGGATACATGTTTGCTTCTGTTGCAAGTAACAGGGCACAGTGTTCTTGGGCCATGACAGTTAAATCTATAAATCATTTAAGCCAGCATTTGAATACTTAAATCTGTTTGGTACCATTATATTAAGCTTAATTTGACTTCATGTGCCCTTAGCTGAATTCATGAGAATGCATTGTAGAAATTCTGATAATGGGAATTATTATCTTATTATTACCTTGGGTGCTACATTCCTGAGGTACGTTGGGCTGAAAGCAAAAGGGGGTGCAGACAAAAATTCAAAGAATGCCAGCATATTATAGCTTAAAGTTTTATTTTCAATAATGAAGCTGCTGTGAAGAGATTGCGATAGATGAGAAAACTGGAATAGGGGAGAAATCGCAAAATAGCCAAGAAACCACCAAATAATCAGTGGAAAGTATCATCCAGCAAGTTCTGGTGGGCAGAATTTTGTCCTCAGGAAGGGACAAAAATCAAGCTTTACCTTAAGGATTTTTCAAAAAAATCTAAATAAATAAATAAAAATTTCTTTAGAAATAATGCCTAATTCCATTTGTGTTTTGTTTAATCTGCACTTCTGCAAGCAGAAGTGAAATGATGGGATGTTTTTGACCCATTCTTGTGAACACTGTGTAAACTTGCGCACTGTGCAGAAAAAAGTCCTCTGACCTGTTTTGTAACTTCAACAGCTGCTTGATTTGCAGAAATTGAGAGGTGAAGACTTTCACAGTGTGGAACTAAATGTACTGCCTGTTATACATCAAAGTGCTATTAAAGAATAGTTACAGAAGCCAGTAGAAAAACTGGCACTCTTTAAATGTTGTCTGAGCTTCTAATCTAAAAATCCCTCTTCTCTGTGTCTCTAGCACTATGGGTGACTCAGGAATACTTAAACCAGGAACCACACTGGTGGAGTGACTAATTTTAAGAAACAAAGACTATGACTCAAATCTGTCTCAAAGCTTTATTCTACCCTAAATTCCCTTGAACTCCCAATACTGCAATCCTATGAACATTTTCCTGAATATGAGCCCCACTGGACCCTAAGGGACTTATCTCCTAGTAAGAACATACAGGATCAGTCCACATGAATGTTGACTGTGGCTTACTGCAGGGGAGAGGGTGAAGAGGAGAAAGCATTCTGTTCATGTTCAGAGGTACTATTTACATGACACTGAATATGGGGCATATGAATGAACTTTCCTTAATTATGCCCTTCTATGCATACCATTTGAACACATATTTTTCTCCTCCTATCACTGAAGATCAAGCGATATAGGTCTCTTATACATTCCTTTTGAGGTACATTTGGCAATGATATGCAATAGCATCTACTCTGTGGCAGCATCCCAACTGTAGAACTTCTTCCCTGAACATTCAGCTGGCCTTCCCTTCTAGTACTTTATCTGCCGGCACTGTGAAATGCTGCTGCTGTTGGAGTTACTATGTGCACACTGTTCTTTTTGCACTGCGTTAATGTATGCATGTATTTCATTTCTATACCGCCCCATAGCCAAAGCTCTCTGGGTGGTTTACAGTTTAAAAAACAGGTCATAAAAACATACCCACATGTATAATGCTGCTCTTAAAAGTCACTCTCAAATGTAAGCATCCCTGTTAATAGAGAACTGCCAGCAATGCAGTCCTCTGAGCTCTGACCACATCAGTGTGTCCAGAACTGACATACAAGCACAGACTCTGATGCTATTGACTCTCAGTCAGGGAAACTCTTGGGGCCCTAACGGTGCCACTAGGAAAAGTGTGTTCAGAACTCGATTCCCTTTCATGGAGGATGCAAACCACTACCTGAAGCATCCTGCTTCATTATAAGGCCACCTCGAGGCTTCGGCAAGGGGCGGCATAGAAATGTTCTAATAATAATAATAATAATAACCTGACAATCTAATTGCATTCTTTAAGGCATTGCTGTAGAATGCGTGGCTTGCTAATGCTGTTGGACTGCCTCTCTCATCTGCTCTAGCCAGCATAGCCAATGGTAAGGGCTGACTGATTTGCTGTCAAAGAACATCTGAAGGGCTACATATTCCCCAGCCCTGCTTTATGACCTCTATGAAGAATGCAACTTTGCCAAAGACGCTCTAGCAAACAATTTCTCTCCCAAAGGACTCCGGCGACTCTAAACTCCAGAATGATCTTTTCCCTTTCATTCTGTTTCCCTAACATAACAGTTGGATCTTCCAAGGCAGCTGAAGACCAAGCACTTGCTGGGGAAGTTGCAACCCTCCAGTAGCAGAGGCAAATTCCATGGAAAGCCTTCACTAAATGGCCAGCTAAAATCTATTGTATCTCTGGACTTCAACAAAAGCAGATGAAAATGGATGATACAATGTATGTGTAGGTTCCTGTATGAAGCATAAGACTTTGGCACCAGGACTTCATGGATAGCAAACAAAGCTTGTAAACAACCACTTATATCTGATAAAAGTACTTCGTATGATTTGTATGGGACAGGAGGCAGAAACACTTCTACAAATGTACATTATTCTGCATGTACCTGGGGAGAGGCTGAGCTTTTCACTTCCAGCAATCCCCTCCTACCTTATGGATTGCTATGGCGCACCTGCATCTTGGCTCATTAGCCCACATGAATTACTTCTGCCCACAAACAGCAGTTACTATGAGGCCTGTTCTCTGAGCAAATTTGCTCTTTCAAAATTTACCATCATCTGTAGGTGTTGAAACCTCCACATGGCAGTTTGCACACAAACACCTATAAAGTTGAATGTATATAGGTGTTAGACTACAGCTTTCACTGGGGCTGATGGGAGTAGTAATCCAAAACACATGGAGGGCATCAGATTTGAGAAGATGGGGTTAGGACATCTGTGTGCATGCAAAGAACAGACAGGTGTGCTTAGGTGTGTTAGCAGCAGATGTTTAAAACTCGCCCACATTTTATATTTTGCATCTTGACTTTAATCACTATTGTTTTGATTGTTGCTGATAATGCTGCCTGCGCAATACACTTGATAGCCTGCAGGATTTAACAACATGGTTATTACGAAACTATAAATGAGAAAAATATTATGCAAACATGCTAAGCAGTGGGAGAAAGGGGAACGGCAGTGCAAAGTTATGGTGAAAGCTGCTTAATTTATAGGCTAGGAGGATGTGAAGAACGGGAAGGCAACACAAGGGCATTCTCGTGTGGCACTGACATCATTTAGGGTTTTACATCCCGTGTGGCATTCAACGTCATTTAGGGACCTTTACGAGCTTGCTTACTGGAAGCAACATTCACTGTGTTCAGCGGGGATCATCCCCGTCCCAAGTAAAGGTGCTCGGGATTGCAGCTGGAAACGCCACGCGCTCATGGCAGCGCCTTGCAGGGCTAACTACTCACCGCGTCCAAGCTGCATTTCCAGGCAGGGCGGGCGGGCGCGGAACCGATTTCCTCTCTGCCTTCCGCGTGCAGCAGGCCCACGGAGCACCTCGGCCTGCGGGCGCCGTCCCCACGGGCCCTTGGCCGCTCTCCGAGATTTCTGCCACCACTCCGGGGCTGCGTGACACATGCAAAAATGGAGACCTGCCTTTCGCTACGGAGCTGGGCTCGCCGACTGGCGCTTCCTCCCCGCCGCTGTAACCTGAGCTCTTGCAACCCGCCCCCAAGAGAGCGGAGGGGTTTGCAGGGTGTTTATTTATTTTTATTGGGCTGCTTGTGCGGATTCCGATTTGCTGCGCCTGAACCGATGTCAAGGCGTCCGGGGAGGGAAAAGCGCTCCGCCAAGAGCGCAGCGCGTCACGTGAGCCTTTGCTGCTGGCGGGAGTTCGGTTCCCGGAGACGCTTCCGACCGTACCTCTCTCCGATTTCACCGCCCCGAAAGGCAGGCAACAGGCGCAAGGACGGTGATTTCACTCATAGGAATATTTTCTGCTGTCCAAGCGTCGCCGCAAAGCGATTGCTGTAAAAATACAAAAACCGCCTCCGCGAACTCTGAACATCGAATAAAAACGCGACGTAAAAATTGCACTTAAAATAATTAAAGGTGAAGTCCTGTGCATGCTTAGGTGGGGTAAAAAGGCCTTGCAACTCCTATGGTTGGTTGGGGAATGCTGAGGGTGGTTATTTCTATTTTTCTGCCAAAATATGCATAGGAATTCGACCTAAATGATGCATAATCTACTTGGTGAGTACTTTCCACAGCCATGATAGACAGGGATAGCTACTTCGGATCTTTTCCTCTGCATCTTCTATCACGGGCAAGACAAGATGTCTTTCTCTAATGGCTGTGCTTGCATCCTGGTTTGCCTTCCTCCTTGAAGCCAATTTGGGTCACACTTTCCAGTCTTGGATTGTGCCTCTTCTCTGCAAGGAACAGTTAATTTAATGGCATTCTCTGGGGGCCCTATTCACGAGTTCTTTGAGACGTTCCTTTAAAGAGACCTGTTGAGGAAAGGGAAATTCCCAGACCTTCATAGATCTCCTCTGCCCAAGCAGGGGCGACAGGGAATCCTGGGACATACAGATCCACCCGTATGTGGATTTATACTCTGGTGGGCAACTTCAGGAGGCAGAAGGGCCGCTCCTATGGCTCCATCTCACCCAAGCCAGGCAATGGTGGCTGCAAATTGAACACTTCCAGAACCCAAAGTTGCTTCCTCAGTAGCTAAAATGACAAAGAGTCTTGCAGTACCTTAAAGACTAAACAATTTCTTATGACATCAGTTGCCTTGGAACAGAGTTCTTTCTATCAGATATATAATGTGAGGCTAAGCTACAAGTATCTAATTTAGCCACATGAGTGCAGGAGGATAATATAGATATTATTTTCTCCAGTGAAGAACAATTGCAACAAGAGCAACCACAATAGGAATTAACAAACTTACCCTATAAATGTGCGCTGGCTATAAAGTATTAAAGGGAAGATGTGGAGGTAACAGGAAGAAATTAATCAGTTCAAGGGCCCATTTCAGTCATGTGGGCACCCATGAGAAGCAGAAATAGTTTTAAACCCACTAACTTTGCTGTGATCCTAAACACACTTGCTAGATCCAAGTTGCGTCTCTTTGCAGCAGATGTATGATCTTGTCTGGGAGGATGGGCATTGCAGGGGGTTTTTTGGGGGGGGGGGGCGTGGCAATAGTGCCATACAAAGTTTTGTGTGGAATAGTAGCTTTTATTTTTCAGGTGCCTGTGAAAAATGCACCTGGACAATGGTGCCACAACCATGCAAAAGGGCCAACCATATAAAAAAGACACCCAAGAGAAGGAACATAGTATAGCAGGCAGCACTTTTCTAAACTGGCAATCAGAAACTGCCACCAGGGCAAGGTCTTTGAGTGGGTGGTAGCCAATCAACTCCAGGCATTCTTGGATGAGACTAATTATCTGGATCCATTTTAGGCAAGGTTCAGGCCTGCTTTTGGCATGGAAACAGCACATATGATGACCTATGCCATGAGAGGGACAGGAATAGTGTTACAAATACTCTCCTTTCCTTGTTTTAATGTGGTCTGTCTTAAACTCTCTTGATATTTACCATTGCCACCAGGTATTTTAATTCCAGTCTTCACACTTAACTTTTTCCACAGTATTGTGCCAGATCTGTTAGCCTTCTTTATTGAACTGTGTGGTCCTGAGGATGAGATGCTGATAATCAAACAGCCTATGACTCCGAGTTAACAATAAACAAAATGAAACTTTATTTGTACAATAAGTGTATTGGTTTTAGAAACAGAAACAGGGCGAGTCAAAAGGGGCCATCTAGTCTGACCCCCGGATCCAGCCGGCTTTGCCCATGACATATCTACCATGAGATGTTTCGAGATATTCCATAAGTTATTTTTAGTGAGTAAAACAATGTTAGTAATAACTTCTAAATGAAGTATCTGACTCTCCTTTCACACTCCTCTCACACAGATCCTCATTTCTCTCCTCCACTCAGGTTTCTGGCAGGTTCTATCTATCACACACCCTTATAATACTTAACACTGTTAGGTTCTGACTCTCCCTAGTCACTAATATGTCATTTAAGTATTCTGCTTCCTTCTTTAGAATCTTAAATACTTTTCATAGCACTGCTTAGGATTCTAATCAGAAGGCTGCCTCTTCAGATGCTGTAGACCACGGGTCCTCAATCTAAGGCCTGGGGGCCTGATCCGACCCACCATGCCCATTTCTCCAGCCTGCTATGCCCATTTGGACACACTGCGTGCACGCCCACACCTACACGCACGCCTGCTGCTGCCCACCTCACCCTGTGTGTGGTTTGCTTGCTTGGAGAAAACGATTTCCAAGCGAGCAAGCTGCTGCCTCGTGCACCCGCCTTGCGGCACGTGCCCACCCCGCCTCCCCTCGCCTCCCCTCGCCTCACTGCGCTGCACCTGGTCTCGTTGCATGCCCTCCCCTGCCCCCACGCACCACCAGCAGCACCTTTCCGGCCCGCACCCAGCATTAGCAGCTTTCAACTGGCCCCCCGGCAAAAAAGCTTGAGGACCCCTGCTGTGGACTTCTGACAAAGCACAACTCTGTTAACTGCTGACAGACCAAACTCTGACAAATTGAAAACCTTTCTTTCTCCACTCACACTTCCAAACTCTGCCCATATACTTTCAGGTACCAACCAATCACCTCTCTCACTCATCCTCCTCTTTCACCCACCTTGCTCTTCTGAAACTTACCCACATTTTAAAAGAACACGTTCTCCTAACACTATGTCATTACAGATAGTGTGACCCTGTAGGCACCCCTGGATCTCCCAGCAGCTTCTGACACCATCTCTCTGGTGCCACTGACTGTGTGGGGGCCACTGTATTACAGTGGTTCTGCTTCTATTTCGACAACTGGATCCAGAAGGTGGTGCTTTGGGGTATTGTTCTGCCCCTTGGACTCTGCAGCATGGGGTTCCTCAGGGGCTGGTCTTGTCCTCCAAGCTGTTTAACATCTACATGAAACCATTGAGTAGGGCCATCCAAGTTTTGGAGTGCATTGCCATCACTATACTGGTGACACACAGCTCTATTCCTCCTTTTCATCTTCAGCAGGTGAGGCTGTAGATGTGCTAAACCAGTGCCTGGCTGCAGCAATGAACTGAATGAGGACAACAAACTGAAGCTCATTCTGGACAAGACTGTTGGTTGATGCTTCCTCTGACCATATGAAGGGTGTTCTACCTGTTCTAGACAGGTTGCATTCCCCTTGAAAGAACATGTTTGTAGCTTGGGGGTGCTCTTTGAGCCATCTTTGTCAGGCCCAGGTGGCTTTAGTGGCACAGAGTGACTTTTAGGAGCCTTGACTGGTGGCCTAGCTACAGTTTTATCTGGACAAAGATAGCTTGGTTTCAGTAATTTACACCCTAGTGATCTCCAGGCTTGATTACTGCAGCGTACTGTATCTGGGGCTGCCCAGGAAGACTGTCCAGAAGCAGACTTGAAAGGACTCAGCTTGCCTCCAGGCCTCCACCAAAGAACAGCTCTATTGTTCTGGTGCCAAGGGCAGGCTAACTCTGAAACATACTGCTGAAGGAGACCTTTCTTCCCCTTCCCCTTCCTTCTCAGAGAGGTTGTAACTGTGTCCCTCTTTCTCTACTCTTCGGGTGTTGCACTCTTCCAACTTGAGAACTGAATTCCATTTTGGAAAGTCCTCAAAACATTCATTCTAGGTGAGAGCAAAGGAGATGGAACCAAAATTCCAGCTTATTTTAGTTGAAGGTCTTACGGCTAGTAACCTGGACTAGCCTTGTCGTAAGGCAGAGTGAGTCCTCTTCCTTAGGCAGCAGATCTAAAATGGTGGTGGATCTTGCATTTCTTGCTTCTAGGAGTTCTGATGCCACCATGCTCTCCATGCCTTCCAAAGCGAGGCACAGGACTGGCAGCTGCCCAGGAGAGCTTCACTGGCCACTGTCCTGTCGTGGCAGGAAAACAGCTGCTGTGGCTGTTTGGCGCCTGTGCCACCACCACTTGCCCTGTGCCTCCTCCTGAAACAGGCACCAGTGGCAGCAAAGGCCGCAGCAATAGAGCGCATGCTGCAGCTCCCCAGAATGCTGTCCATGCAATGCGCTGCACCATGGGCCTCTTGAAGGATCCCATGTGGCCCCCTTGCTTTGCTCTGAGGGGCTCTTGGTGAGAGTGAGGCACTGGGAGGGAGGGAGGGGGCCCTGTCATCACCTGCGTTGCCATGCAGTGGGTGGTCTCCACGGTCACCTTCTCACTCGCACTCGTCTTCACTCTCCTGAAGGACCCCACAGAGCAAGGTATTGAGGTGAGGTCAAGTGGGACAGTCAGCAGGTAGGAAGTGGGGAGGAGACATGGAGAGAGAGGGAGGCTGGGACTGGCAGCTCGCCCTCCCTTTCCGCTTTGTGGTTAATGCATAGAGTCAAGGAAGCTACTGGGGAGAAGAAAGCTTCCTTCAAAAAATGGAGGTGTTGCTGAAATGAAGAGAATGGACGGGACCACAAGCTTGTGTAACAGACAGAGAAGCAAAGAAACAGTTTGCATGTAGCCAACTATATTAAGGCTAACCATATATCGAAGGAAGGAAGGAAGGAAGGAAGGAAAGGAAGGAAGGAAGGAAGGAAGGAAGGAAGGGGGGGGAGAGCGAGAGAGAGAGAGAGAGAGAGAGAGAGAGAGAGAGAGAGAGAG